TTGTCGTCTCTCTCTCCAAGCCGCGCGGATCCCCTCCGCCTCCGATGATCGCCCGTACGCATACTCATGTTTACCCCATCTTAAAACGCATCCAGTCTGATCCCTACAGCACCAACGCGATGTCTACTCCGCCAGACATGTAGAATAATCTACTAGTGGCATCCTCGAACAACTGATCCAGTAGAAAGGGCGCGATCGAGCCGAGGAAGTGCCGCGCGTGCGGCATGATTCAGGTGAGTCGAATCTGGGACACTACCAGCCACACATACATCACAGTGTAAATCCGTACAGCTGCCGGTTGATCTGTCTACTCTGTACGGTGTGTTCCAAAAGTGAAAAGGAAGTTTCCTTTTTTTTGTTTGTTTTCTTTTTCTGGCCTATTTTCTTGTGCTGCCTGTCGCCGCATGCAAGCTGCGGCGGCGGCGTTCTGTGTGTCGCCCGCGCTCGGGGAATCTGTGTTATGCAGCAGATCATGATCATCGCGTCGAGACACAGAGCGTACAGGGAAGGGAAGGGCAAAAACGCATACCAGATTGGGTAAATAAAGCCAATGGAAGATCGACCGATCTGCTGTGAAACTCAAAAGGTAAAAATAATAGTGTGTAGTTTGTAGGGGAGAAGAGGTCTGTTCGCCACTTTGGTGGACGCTACCTTGCAGAAGGCCAAGGGGCCCCGGGGAGGCTAGAGATACAGTACAGTAGGAGGATCGCGACCGATGCAGGGAGGATGATGGAATCGGTATGCTAGTAAGGTTTAGACTGCAGAAGCAAGATTGAATGTGCAATCGACATCGGACAAGAGTATCAGTAGTATGTGTGTGGATGGTGCATATCCATAGTAACTTATTCACGACCTACGTAGTAGTAGTAGGTATGTATGTCGCATCAATGGTGAGTGATACTCGAGGAGGACACCACGAGCCAATCTTTCAGCACAGCACAGTTACTAACTAGTAGCTGGACAAAAGTACCTCCTTCTGGATATGATCTACCTGAGTCTTTTGTCCTTGCTTCGCTGTCTCTCTCGATTCATCAGTTCTCTGTCTGGCTCGCAATGTGCGTTATGGTTTAGTGAATCGACACGTTCTTCCTCATAGTACAAAGCACCTGTCAATTGGTGACAGTGCCAGGTAGATCCTTGAGATTTGCTTCCCGTCCATGTCAAACAAAGGCCACCACACAGTAACTACTGGAGGTACTTTACGTTCTAGTCGGTTTCAAGGATGATCCTGAGGCAGCAGGAAATTTGCAATGGCGTTTGAGTTATATTACAACGGTATCAATCACCTCATTCTTACTCGTTCGACTCCCCGGCAGGGCAAGGAGATGCGTTTTCTTTTCTTGCTGGTGGATCAGGGGTCGGTCGTATGTAAGACGGGACGGACGGTACTGAAAGAAATCCAATCGATAACCCTACTAAACACCCGGACTAGAGTCCGCGGAATCGCAGCCGGACGGATCAGCGCGCCCCTGTAGTCACGGGGATGGCGTTCGAGAAGGGGGGAACTGATCGGTCGGCTCATTACGAACCGGTCTGAATTGCCCTGCGGAGACTTTTGTTTTTAGGATCATCATCAATCAACCTTCAGGAAGTTATCATCATCACCATCTCAATTTGCCCCCCTCCGTTTTCCCCATCCAATCTTCATTGCAGAAATGTGTCAAAGACGGTTTCCCTTGCTTTTCTTCTATTCCCCGATTCCCAGAACCCAGTCATCGCATCCACCTGCCACTCTGGAACCTCGACCCTCCCTTTCCCGTTCCCGAACTCAAGGCCCGTTTTTGGGGCACTTCCCATAGCACTCCGTATTAAGTCTCCCTCTCGGAGACATTTGAGAATGATCCAGCAAGAGAACGCAACCCAATTGCGGATAGAGAAGGATCACTGGCTAGATGCCAGTATGTGGGCAGTCCACTTACCCACTTATTTACCCCAGTACTCCGTACAACTACCGGAAGGTGTTAGTGCTATACACTATCTACAACCTATCGCACCCCGGCTTCTTACTGTTGATCGCCCTCTTCTTCCCCGGGGCCTGCTTTTTCCTCGCCCCCCCTTCCTTAGCCTCACCAAGCTACAGCACAATTTACCGTAGCGACGTAGACACAATACCATCAATGCCAAAGTCCGACGCCGCGCGGGTCCCCATTAGCCCGCCCTACAAACCTGGAGGATCTACTATGTTTTTCCCGATTCAGGCGGGGGACGGGGAGGGTGATCGACGTGTTGCCCTCAATGTCGGGCCGGCTTATTTCTGCTCTGTCCGTCTTTGGAGACCGATTAGGAAGTATGGTGGTGGGCGTATCGAGACTGATAGGTCTCATCACAGGGAATTTCGTTGGGCTTTTCTGGGATTGTCCAGGCTGTCCGGAGAGAGGACTGGACAGTGGATAGAACAAAGACAGAACAGCCACTATCTACGAGGTGCAGGAAACGGGAGAGATGAACAAGGCAGGAAGGAAAGTTCTGGAAAAGGTGTGTTTTCAGACAGCTACTTAGTGTGTGCTTGATTAGTGCTTACTTGTGGACGAAGTGAAAGAAAGGCGCGTGGGCCAGCTCTGGATCAGTAGATGGCGGACATGGGACGAGTTGTTAGTGGGATACATAATCTACTACTCACCCTAGTAAATATGTTATACCTACTTCCTCGCAATGTCTCAGAGATGCATACATGACACTTTACCAATTCAACCAGAAATCCAAGGGTAGTTGAGACCAGTGTCTAATTACTGCTGTGTTGTTGTCTCCAACTCGAGTTGACCTAGAAATCAGCCCTTGTCCGGGTTCTTCTCCCAACAGCCAACTGACTGATTTCTCTCCATAGCCCGAGCAAAAAAGAAAAAAGCAAAGCAAAGAAACCAAAAAAAGCTCCCCCTGGAAACAATCCAATTTGCCAGATGAGGTTCTAGACTCGCGCGGATGGTCTAACCAGAGCCTCAGCCGCAGGGTAAGCAGGGGATCCTGATAATCGTGCAGCTTTGAGCCTAAATTCAATCCGATTCCTCGGATTTCCATACATACCTACGGGGTATGAGCGACACGCCCAGAGGTACAAGTACAATATACCGAGAGCAAGGGTCTCCAAGCAGCAGCACTCATCTGTCAATTGAACTAGCGCCACAGGGGGGAAAGTTCAGGCTGATCCTGGAATTGAAAGAAAATCGCTCACTCTATGTCCGCGAACTTACTCTACTTGCTATCAACGATCTCCCAATGCAAGGGAGACCGATGAGGGATTTTAAGGCCCTCAATGCTTCCGTGCCAGATGTACCAACTTGAGGTCTTCCATCCAATCAATTAAATCCATTGATGCCAATGCGGCCATGTACCTACCACTACTACTCATATCAATCAATCAACCCAACCATCAATTGCGAGACTTTCGTCTTGATAAGCGATACAGACTGACATTCCTGACAGACAAGACCTGATCGATTCCGGTATGGTGGGATCTTCCTCTCCTCCCTCCCGTACCGACAGTGAAGCTTCCGCTCAAGTCATCTTTTTTGTGTTATCTTTTCTTTTCCCTTTTTTTTTGTCCCTATGGACTACCCACCGTACCTACTAAGTCACCACCCCATGGAGGAACCTCATGTGTGAGCACGGCATTCATTCGTCCGGATGGCTCTTCCCCGTTCGTTTGCTTCTCTGTCCCTGGGCGAGTCCGTCCGGTCCGGCTGCCACCCGGGGGGAATCGCGGCGCATGGAATCCCTCCCCCGGCGGTCGATCATTTAGTGGCAAGCTACAGTACAGAGTAGTAGTAGTAGTCTCGGTTGTAGTCCACGGTTCCCTACATCTGTCCCGGTCTACATACATACATACATACATACATACATACATACATACCTGTCTCCCTGTCCTGACCATGTCCCTGCCTCCCGGCTGATTTAAACCAAGTTAGATACCTTACCCTGGTCTGATCTGATGTTGCGAGTTCCCGGACTTCAGGTGCCGTGTTCGCTTCATTTACCTACTAAACTACTGGTCGATATGCCTCGTCGAGTTGGAACTCGCGCCATGGCTGAGACATGGAGCTGGAATCAACCTACTCTGTACTAAGTTATCCGGAACAAGGGAACTGTGCGCCCTCCGTACAGGACGAAGTTGCTTGTCCGTGGAGACTGCCCCGCCATCCATGTGCTTGCAGAGTCGTATGAGGAACGATGGATGTAACTTATCTATCAGATGGGCTGTGCACAGGTACGGATTTTGCTTTTTTTTTTTTTTTTGTGCGCTCTGTCTACTTCGTAGGGAGTAGGAGGCTTAGCGCTGAGTTGGAGTCTGTGGTTTCTCTCTCTCTGTGTGTGTATGTATAGTATGTCTGACAGCTTGTGATTGGGAAGTATAGTACTCCGTACCTAGGTACTATACTGCCTACCTGGAGCTCTCACTAGGTCGGTTGGTAGGTGTAAGTGGTTCGTGATCCAGGACCCGGTCTCAGTGACTCAGGACTCAGGACTCAGGCTGCTCGCAAGCCACGGTGGCCCACCTGTCCTGTGTTCACCACAGTAGTTATCCGTGACAGCAACTCTGTAAGGCTTAGAAAGGTCTAGACAACTGCGCAATCCCGCTAGAGAACGAGGTAGCGAGGTTGACACCCGCTGGATTGATCTTTCTCACACCACGTCTTGGGCGTAAATGATGCTCGTATACTGTCTCTACCGTGTTTTGGAACAGTTCCTCGCTGATCTGCCCGAACGCCAGAATCAAACCTCGCGTTCGCTTCCAAGCACCATACCTGGAAATGGCAGTGCCCCTCTAAGTCTGAGACCTGGTCTTGTCTGGTTTGGTCATAGGGAGTGTCTTATTATCATTTCCAGGATGGCTTCTGGGGGTTCAAGGCACCTGTGCGCCGGCTCACGGCTACGGTACTACGGTAAGTCAAGGGAAAGGTTGAGAGGCTTCTGTCTCTGTCTCAATTGACGTGAAACAGCTATTGAGCATCGTCACAGGTCATGGCAGTTCGTTTCCCTCTCCCATCATCTTCACCCATCCGCTTCCAAGTTAAGACATCATCGATCACGAGCTGGAATCCGTGCCATATTTCTCAACACATCCGTGTGCCATTTCGTACTGAAAGAAACACCCACGAGGGTTAGTCTCTCCATTGGAGAAGAAGGAGAAGAAGAAGAAGGCAAAAAAAAGTTCACTCACCTGTTCGTCGGTCTGGCAAATCAACACCCGCGGCCCCTGAGAACCGCCATTCTTAGAGACATCCACCACCGTCTGCTCCTCGCTCGGGCCCTTGTCGTTGGCGGCCTCATCGACCGCAAATCCAAGACACTGGCATCGCTCGACCACCGCTTTGCGCAGAAGAGCGCTCTTCTCACCAATGCCTCCGGCGAACACGAGCGCATCGACTTTGCCGCCCAATTTCAGGTAGTAGTTGCCAATGTAGCCAAGGATGCGATCCACGATGATGTCAAAGGCGAGCTGGTGGCTGGGGCTCGGGGGGTTCTCCACGGCGATCTGGGAGAAGTCGGTCGTGCCGGTCAGAGCCTTCCACCCAGACTTCTTGTTGAGGATCTCTTCGGCCTGCTGGCTGGTTAGCTGGGCTGCACTGGCGGAAATTCCGACAAGGCGCACGGCCATACCGTGCTAATGTGCATCTCTTTGGTGCTGGCCGGGCTCAATTTGCCGGCTTCGCTTGTGTAATGGAATACGAGCCTGGTCACATGGTTTTAGTCTTGCTTTCTCTCGGGAGGTGGTTGGAGATCGCTCTTACGATGGGTCAATGTCGCCGCTTCTTGTCGCTCCCGGCAGTCCAGCTAGGGGAGTCAAGCCCATCCTGGATACACGGCATTCGTCAGTGTCTAATCCAAACGGCACCTCCCAACATGACGAGGCAATGAATGCCCTTACGTGGTATCGACCGATTTCCCATCCTTGATCGCGCACATCGACGCACCACTTCCAATATGCATTGCGATCACACTAGTCTGCTCAATGGGCTTGTCGAGGAACTGCGCCACCGATCGCAGGATATAGGAGTAACTGATGCCGTGGAAGCCATACTTCCGGAGACCCTTGGACTTGGCAATCTCCGGATCGATTGGATACGTGCGCACATGCTCGGGGATTGTCTGATGGAATGCGGAGTCGAAGAAGGTGACGCTCTTCACATCGGGGATCTCATTCCGGCAATGACGGATGATCTCCAAGGCCGAGAAGTTATGTCTGTACCGGTGGAGTGTAAGTTTTGCACACCCGTTCTCTTGATCACCCACGCAGAAAAGCAAAAAAAAAAAAAAAAAAAAAAAAAAAAAAAAAAACCTACAAAGGAGCCAGATCCTCCAATTTTTCCAAGTGGTGGTAGGTTTCGTCGGTAATCACCACGGAAGAGTCGTAGTCGCCGCCGTGGACAACGCGATGGCAGATATACGCCAGATCGTCACTGCTGCCGACTTCCGACAGCTCCGGGTCGGAGACGCAGCGGTTGAGGAGGAACTTGAAGGCATCCTGCGGGGTGCCGACGCTTTCCTTGATCTCCTCGGTGTGATTCTTCGTGCCGCAGGTGTACTTCAGCTTGGCTGGTGGGGCGGTGATACCGGAGACCTGGGCGGTCGCAATCACTTTGGGATTCTGCTCGAAGGTGTAGAAGGTGAGCTTGACCGAGGAGGAACCGGCGTTGACGGAGAGGATTGATTTGCGGGGCATTGTGAAATTAATTGTGAAAGAGAGGGAGGAGGGAGATTATGGAGGTACGAGATGGGAGGAGATCTAAGCAATTGTAGAGAGGGGTAGTAGTAATCGTAGTAGAAGCAGATGCAAATCAATTCCTGGCTAGGCTCTATATATGTGGTGGTCTAATGTTCGAATCTGGCTCGGAGTTGCATTGCCGGATGGGTCTCACTGCAGATGGGCAGTTCTTGGTTACTAACGAAGGTTGAGAGATAAGTTAAGTTAGTGGTCCTCATAATGCATCACTGCATGAAGGATGCAAAAGCAGGTGGGGGTGAGGGGGAGAAGATTGGGTGATGTCAGAGTCCCTTCACCATGTGACGTAGTACCGACTCAAATCAAAAAAAAGTGGCAGATGGAGACACAGGAATACAATGAATGTCAACTTGGCCAACACCAAACACCGTGAACTTATTTCAAGCTGCAATTCTTCCTCTTTTCTCCTCCTGGTGGTCTGATAATCTTCTAGTTTATTGCCTTTTCCTTTCTTTGCTGATCGAATCACTTACCCCGCTGTCTTCTCCGTGGGCTCTAACCCATCCCCGCCTATACTTCCTCATTTAGTAGTTCCTATTTCCTCCGTTCATTGCTATCAGCCCATCATGCCGGGAGAAATCATCGATCGGCCCAATCCCAAGCCCGAACCTTCGCACATCCCCGATCTCGTCGAACAGCTGCAGGTGCAACTCCAGTCGACCAGGCTCACGGAATCAGATTACGATGCTCTCCTTAAGTACCGTCGCGCGGCGGCGTATATCGCTGCTGGTAAAGCTACCTCATCCAGCATTATCCTTTTCATCTTGAGGGATCTCAGCTAACTCTCTCATCAGCGATGATTTTCCTTCAGGATAATGTGCTAATGAAACGCGAACTCAAGCATGAGGATATTAAGCCTCGATTGCTAGGTGAGTTGGCACTCCCACTGCCGGTCCAAGAAGAATTGGATAGCAGTAACTCATACTCCTCGCGCAGGTCACTGGGGAACCTGTCCCGGATTGATCTTGGTCTACTCGCATCTGAACTACCTGGTCCGCAAGCAGGATCTGAACATGCTCTACGTGGTTGGACCCGGACATGGCGCCCCGGCCTTGCTGGCCTCCCTGTGGCTGGAGGGCTCGCTGGGCAAGTTCTACCCGGAATACTCGCGAAACATGGACGGACTCCGGCAACTCATCTCGACGTTCAGTACGAGTGCTGGACTCCCAAGGTAGGACGCCCTGTGTTCAATCTTGCTCTAGGCAAGCATATCGCTGACTTGCTCGGTTTCTCAATAATAGCCACATCAACGCAGAAACTCCTGGTGCGATTCACGAGGGTGGTGAACTGGGGTATGCCCTGGCCGTTTCTTTCGGCGCGGTCATGGATAATCCGGAACTGATTGTCACTTGCGTGGTTGGAGACGGAGAGGCGGAAACTGGTCCGACTGCGACGTAAGTCCATCCGTCTTCGCAGCCTTTACCCCTACTTTATGCTGACAGATATCGGATTAAGGTCGTGGCATGCCATCAAGTACATCGACCCTGCTGAATCGGGAGCCGTTTTGCCGATTCTCCACGTCAACGGATTCAAGATTAGCGAGCGCACTATTTTCGGGTGCATGGACAACAAGGAGCTTATAACGCTATTCACGGGTTACGGCTATCAGGTTCGCATCGTTGAGGATCTGGAAGACATCGACACCGATATCCACAACTCCATGGCGTGGGCTGTTGATGAGATTCACAAGATCCAGAAGGCTGCGCGCTCGGGCAAGCCCATCATGAAGCCTCGTTGGCCAATGCTTGTCCTGCGCACCCCCAAGGTAAGTCTCTAAGGAGTTAATCACGAAGCAGCCGGATCATCAGGCTAACTTATACTCTCAAGGGCTGGTCGGGACCCAAGGAAATTCATGGAAAGTTTATCGAAGGTTCATTCCACTCGCACCAGGTGCCTCTTCCTAATGCGAAAAAGGACGAGGAGGAGCTGGAAGCTCTTGAGAAGTGGCTCTCTGGCTATGGCCCAGACGAGTTGTTCACCGAAGACGGCGATATCATCGACGAGATCAAGTCAGTCATTCCTGCGGACGACGAGAAGAAGCTCGGACAGCGCGCAGAGTCCTACAAGGGCTATAAGGCACCCAACCTCCCCGGCTGGAAGGAGTTCGGCGTGGAAAAGGGCTCCCAAGAAAGTGCCATGAAGGCGGTCGGCAGACTAATCGATCAAGTTTTCACCAAGAACCCACACAGTGTCCGTCTGTTCTCGCCGGATGAGTTGGAGAGTAACAAGCTTGACGCTGCTCTTTCGCACACCGGGAGAAACTTCCAGTGGGATCAGTTCTCGAATGCCAAAGGCGGCAGAGTCATCGAGGTGCTGAGCGAACATCTGTGCCAGGGCTTCATGCAGGGGTACACCTTGACCGGCCGCACAGGGATCTTCCCGTCCTACGAGAGTTTCCTGGGCATCATCCACACGATGATGGTCCAGTACGCCAAGTTCAACAAGATGGTACGTTGCCTCATGCTCACCTGGAAGTGTTGGCGATTGGTACTGATTCAAGCAGGCTCAAGAGACCTCTTGGCACAGCCCTGTGAGCAGTCTCAACTACATCGAGACCAGCACTTGGGCCCGCCAGGAGCACAACGGGTTCTCCCACCAGAATCCATCGTTCATCGGTGCAGTCCTCAAACTCAAGCCCACTGCCGCCCGCGTGTATCTGCCGCCTGATGCCAACACCTTCCTGTCCACGCTCCATCACTGTCTCAAGTCCAAGAACTACATCAACCTCATGGTGGGCTCCAAGCAGCCGACTCCGGTGTATCTCAGTCCCGAGGAAGCGGAGCGTCACTGTAGAGCTGGCGCGTCCATTTGGAAATTCTGCAGTACCGATGAGGGTCTGGACCCTGACGTTGTGCTTGTGGGTATCGGCGTCGAGGTGATGTTCGAAGTCATCGCTGCGGCGGCTATCCTCCGCCAGCGCTGCCCTGAGCTCAGAGTTCGGGTTGTCAATGTGACTGACCTGATGATCCTCGAAAATCAAGGCCAGCACCCGCATGCTCTGTCGACGGAAGCTTTTGACAGCCTGTTTGGATCCGACCGACCCATCCACATCAACTATCACGGCTACCCGACTGAGTTGAAGGGGCTGCTCTTCGGCCGGCCTCGCCTGGACCGGGTTACCATCGAAGGCTACATGGAAGAAGGCAGTACGACGACGCCGTTCGATATGATGCTGTTGAACCGCGTGTCCCGTTACCACGTGGCGCAGGCTGCTGTTATCGGGGCTGGCAGACGGAACGAGAGGGTGCAGCTGCGTCAGCAGGAGCTGTGCGCGGAGCTGGGCCACGAGATTGCCGAGACGCGGAAGTATATCCTCGAGAACCGACAAGGTAAGCACCGTCCCTCATGGGGAGGCGCGAAGTCCGAACGCCGTACTGACCCACTGGCCCAGACCCCGAAGGTACCTATGATACGCCCTCATTCGAGTAGAAGATGGTGTAAATGAAATGAGTCATGACACGTAACTAAGACGCTTCCATAGTTAATAGAGCTTTTTTCATCTACACGTGTACTCTGTAGGAGCCTAAGAGGAGTATATGCCTTCGTGTTGAGGCGTTGCCGACTACTCCCAATTTGTAACTTATGTAAAAGCCTGCGACGAGTAGCGGCGGCACTGGCCGGCGACGCCAGATCCTCCAGGCAGACAAGCTGACAATCACGGTCTTCCATCACCGTTTCTTCCTCAAATCCTTCAGCTTTGACTCTCATTCACCAAGCCACTGCCAGAATCAACCAGGCTGCCATGTCTGTTGGACAATATCAATTAAGGTTTAGTGCCATCAGTGTGCTCTGTGTATCTAGTACACAATCACAAACAGGGCCCTGACGTCGGGGTTGGATCATCCCAATCTCCGTTTCCCTGTCAGCCCGGTCAGAATGACAGAGTTCAACATCGTGAGTGGTGAAGCAAGTAGGGGGGGGGGGGGGGGGCGATCTGGGCTCGTTTCAGACGAGTCCTCAAGACAGGGTGGCCTTGGCCAGCTGCAGGTGCAGCTGCAACAAGTCAACCACAACCACAAGTCCACACACACAGCATTTTGTGCACGGGATTCGGCCGATGTGATTTGCCTGACAAAGTCCCGGCGGTGGCTCCCTCGGGATCTTCGGCAAAACGTTCGCTGGGGATCTAAACCCGATTCGGCGTACCTTGCGAGTCCATATCTTCGCCGCGCAACTATGGAACCAACCAGCTCGGTTGTCTCTTTTTTCGGTGTTTTCTCTTCTCTCCTGCTCCTGAAAATTATTAATGGGACCAGGTCAGGAACCACTGTCACCTCCCCCCGGGCCTTGTGAAACCGCCAGTCTGATTCCTGGGTGACACGGATTTTCAAATGTACTTCCTGTGCAGTAGCTGATGATGGGGGCCCGGAGCAGCACTTCCCCCCCTCTCCTCTTCCAGGCAGACATTGATATAGTGCGAAGGATCAACTGTGAAAGGGCTGGGGATCTGAAAGTGGGACTGACCACGCGCGCTGTACACTGCTTACTTTGACCCTGGGCTCCATAACTACATTCGGAGTTTACCCCCGGGAGATACTGTTCCTGGCTCAGCCTCTCGTTTTTCTTTCCCATCCATGCATTCACAGGTGGGGCTATCCCGTTCAGTCTGTGGAGAATTCCCGTTCGTTTGGTCTTATATAGCACGGCCCCTAAGCTATTGCAATTTCTCAGCAGCTTTTCGTGCCTCTTCTCCCTTTTTCTGTCTGTCTGTCTGTCTAGACTGTTTGCATGTACAGTTACAGTCACGCCATCCATTCACGAACATTTTGAAGCTCTCCCAACACCTCTGGTCGCTGTGACCAACAACTGCAAGATCAGAATGAGCAACAGCACGCTTGCGGCTGAGGCTCAGTTTCGCCAGTCGCTGAGGAATGGCTGCCATGCTTATGTGGAGGGTTACGGCACATCATATGGCTACCAGCCATCGCTAGCGGCGGGCATCGTGTTCTGCGTGCTCTTCGGAGTCTCCATGCTTGCGCATATCGTACAGATGGCGTGGAAGAGAACGTGGTGGTGTTTAGTATTTGTCCTGGGATGTGCCAGTACGTTTGAATCGTTGATGGACTTGCATCGGGAGAGAACTGACCAAGCGCTTCCAGCGGAAATTATCGGCTGGGCCGGTCGAACATGGTCTGCAGAGTGTCCATACAACTCGACTGCGTTCCTGATGCAGATCTCCACCTTGATCATCGGTGAGTCGACCCCTGGGCTTCACCCTCCAACAACGAACAAGCACTGACTCTCTGGTTCCAAGCCCCTACCTTCTTCACCGCAGGGATCTACGTCCTCCTCGGCCGGTTCATCGCGCTGCTAGGCCGGGAAACCTCGATGCTGAGCCCGAAACTCTACCTCTGGATTTTTGTGACCTGCGACATCGTCTCGCTGGTCGTGCAGGCCATCGGCGGCGGACTGGCGTCGATAGCCTACAACCAAGCCAACGGCAACACCGAGCCCGGCACGCACACCATGGTGGCCGGTATCGTCTTCCAGCTGGTTTCGATCACAGTCTTCGTCCTGCTGGCGGCCGACTTCGTGCGCCGCGCCCTGCGCCTCGGCCTCCTGCAGACGATGACGGGTTCCGTGGTGCCCTTGTTCGGCGCCATGGTCGTCTCGGTTTTGGTGATCTACGTCCGCAGCATTTACCGGACCATCGAGCTGTCGCAGGGCTGGTCCGGCTACCTCATCACGCACGAGGTGTATTTCATTGTCCTCGACGGCGTCATGATGGTCATCGCGGTGGGCGTGTTCAATGTGTGCCATCCGGGCTGGTTGCTGCCCAAGGACGCGCCCAAGCCGTTTCATCGCGCGATCAACTCGTTTGATATGGAGGAACGGTAGCTGGCTGGCTGGCTGCCTTGCTCATGACTGTTTACTTCACGATGGTGGAGCTTGTTTCCTTCTTTCCTTCTTTTCTTCATTACTTATTTTCTCGGTGCAAATGTTTATACCCATGACCCGAACACTCTACCATACTCGCCCACACTCTATTATCTTATCAAATCAAATCTCACCCCACCATAACCACGCACCTAGATAGAAAGTACAGTACAGAGTACAGGTAGATTAATGAAGCACATACAAACCATCGACCAACCCATTGAAATCAGCTCAATCACTTACGCGGCACAGAGCAAGAAATCCTACTCACTCTGAGTAAAGTACAGGACAGTACAGTACCTATACTCTATATCGCCAACCCAGTCAATCCCCCAACCGGCAGGAAACCCTCCGCATCCCAATCGAAACTCGCACCATTTTTTGAATTCCATGTTTCAAATTAATAGAGCACGAACAACGGAGAAGGAAACCTTATCTGTAGCGCAAATTTCCACAAGTTTCGTGTCACCGCTCTGCGACACGGACCCAAAAATTGGGAAGGGAAGATCGTCGATGGATCTTGAGAGGTGAAACCGATCACCGGGCAATAGGTTCGCGCTTCAATTCAAATCGACTACCTAATCTACCTAAGATAATGATTAAATCGAGCAGATACAGTAGGTAAGGAAGTAATAGGAGTGAGTTAACTTGCAGACTACGTACTGGTTGGATAGCCAACTCCCTCCGTGCTAGGTATTTCAGTACTACACTTGACTACTAGACAGTTTAACAAACATAAACCACCTAAGAAAATAGGTAAAGTACTGCTACGGAAAGAAGCGCAACGGATCAAGTTGGTGATTTACATACCCTACCTTGCCGAAGGGATGGCGCTGGAGATTAAGTGGCTGTCTTTCTGTCCGTCTGTCTATCTGGGTCAGGGGGTTACGAGGGTCTATCGATGTGTGTTTCAGGTCTCAAACTTAAATTTCAAAACTGCAGCATCTGGCTAACGTATAGACCGAATTTTTAGCATTGTAGATAGTCACCGCTGGAAGAAACTAAGAGAAACGAAGTACATCATCAGAAGCATAAACGAGTCATCCTGCGCCCATCATCTCCAAACATACAATTTGGTAAGCTGCTTAAAACTGCAACACCCCGCTCGCTGACATACATTGCTTGCTTCAGAAAAATTGAGGAGGAAAGATGCAAAAGTTACACTCCTGCTCCAATTGACGGTAACACCGAAGACCGAAGATATCAGAATTCTCGATTTTGCACTGGGAAAAAAAAAGAAATAAAGAAAAAAGAAAAAAAAAGATTCGTGGAAGAGATCATAGAGGGAAGAGGAATGAAAAGATTGATAGGTGATCTGATCATACACCGTCCACCGACTCGATCCATCCGAACGCCAATCCGTTCACCACCGCAGCAGCGGCCCAGACCAATCCCCAGGCAGACGCCCCTTCTACACTCACACGGTTCACTGTACCGGCCACCTGGATGACCGTGTTGGCGAGCATCACCACCGCCAGTACAAAGGTGCGCGAGACCAGCACCTTGGTCTTGGGCGAGAGTGTACCCCACATCTTACGGTAGACGGCGCGCGCGAGGTACTCGCCATCCTTCTCAGTCTTGGTGGCGGGTTTCTGGGCCGCCTTCTCGGTCTCCTTGGTGCTGGCTGCGGACGCACCAGTCGAGCTGGCAAACAGGAAATCGCGCGCCGCCCAGCCAGCGGGAAGCAGGCTCAGGAAGAGAGTGGGCAGGCCGGCGGGGCCAGCGTGCACGGCGGAGATGTCGGGAATGCCCTCGAAGTGGAGCACCAGGTTGGTGGGCAGCCAAGGGGTGGCGTAGCTCAGGTAGAGTGCGACAGTGAAGATCGCGGTCGCAAGCATGGTCGTATAGGCGGTCGTGGCACTGTCCTGCAGGATGAGGCGATTGGAGATGGTCTTCGGGCTCGCGTGGGCGAGGTTGTGGAAGGAGTTGGGGCGACGGAAGACGATGAAGGGAACGACGGTAGAGAAGACGGTGATTGCGTACGCGCCCAGGATGGTGGTCGGTCGCACGCTGTAAAAAGTGGAAAGAAGCGAGTAGGTCGGAAGATGCGTGAGGAAGATAAAGGAGGCGACATCATAGCCTGCGCGAAAGGGTCAGATTCATCTGGACAAAGCGCTTTTGAGCTTTAAGGTACGCATACTGTCGTATCCCAGGGTCCAGGCCAGTCCGACCTCGACAGCCTTCCACACCATCAAGCCCCCCACTTCCCACCAGGTCTCGAGGTGCTTGCTCACATTGCCCAGCTCACCCCGGGTCATGACCGGCATGAGCGTAAATAGGCTAGAGCTCAGAGCTAGACTGCTGACAACAACCAGAACAAAGCGCACGGTAGATGGAATCTGCTCCAGCTGCATCTTGCGGCGGGGCTGCGCATCAGTGCTGGGCTCATGGGTTACTGTCACCGAGGACAGCACTTCTTTCTTGCGCGGGGACATGGTTGAAACCTAATCTTAGTAGTTGTCTTGATCACGGATTTGTAACTGTTGATGGTGCTAGAATGGTGAAGCGACGGGGCTCTTCTTGTAGTCGGAGCCGCTAGCTGGGACAGGGGACAGGAAGGGGAGATGAGGGGTGAAAGAATGACGAAGAGAAAGAAAACACGAGACAAAGGATGAAAAGAAAGAATAATGATGAGGCTGGGAATGTTTGGCACACGCGGGCGGTGAGGTCAGCAGTGGATGATGTCATCGCCCATCATGCAAGGAAGACCCTGGGCGACGGACTGAGGCAGCAAGGCATTCCTTTGATCCACCATGGAGTGTGCTATAAATACTCCAGTTATTTTGAAGCTCTTTTGTCTATTCCTATACATGTACCCATAGCAGTAGTGTAGCAAACTGTACAGAGCACTTATTATACGTGACGGCACAAAGCATACAGGCCAACGCTCATCAAGATAGGCTGATGTTTGAAAAGAAAGCCATGTCGATCTGTGAGCTGCCTCAGTCTTCATCTTTGTCTGCCTCGCTCTCCACCACAGAGAACTCGGCCACGCCTTGCTCACGACCCTTGCCATCCCGCATAACCAGCTGGTACTTACCCTGGTTCCATAGGTCCTTGATGGTCAACTCGCGCGTACGCCCGAGACTCTCGATGTCTGCAATGCGCGTCAAAGTGCCTTCTAGATGTTCATCAAACCCTGGCCAACTGCAAATTTCGCGGAACGCATTCTGCATCGGAACGGAGTCGGCGCGAACCATGGCCCGAGAGTCGATTGTAAAGATATTTTCATGATCATAACTCTGAATGAAGTCGGCTCTCGTCATGATCTGCCGGGCTTTGTGGAGAGGAATTTCTGGGAGGACGTGACCTAGCTCTGGGTGGTAGACATGCTTCATCTTCTTCTCCTCGTCCACAAGTGCCTTAGCCAATACCATGGCGGCGGACTGTTACCGTTGTCAGTCGAAACTGGTCAATCGTGAAACCTTCGAAAGACGTACCGCATATTTCTGCTGGTCCATCACGTCGTCGTCCATCTCAGGACCCAAGATCCAGCATTTGTTGAGAAACCAGGTCTTCTCGGCTGTGCAAATATCTTGACACAGCTTCTTGTAATCCAGAGCTTTAGCCACCCGGTTCAGGAAGGACAACCGTCCTCCAACAGCGTTGTAAACCTTCTCTAGGTCTTCGGGCGAAAGCTCTTCGCCGAAATACTGCTTGCGGTATCTCTTCAGAGCTTCCATTGCCGGCTCCTTAGGTAGATCCTTGACAGGTATGACTTCCATGCGCGTCGCATAGCGCTTGAGGCGTTCATAGACCCAGTATTCATCGCTGTTGAGAACTTTTTGCAGAGCCCGTTAGTAATAGACTTGCAGCCTCCATTCCCAATTGAACTCACTCGTGGTGACAAGGCCACTTGCGGCCCATTGCTCAGCTCGTTGCTGAATGACTTCGAGAAGATCCTGGCCATCATGGTCATCTCGGACCAAGTGAGCACTATTGACAATCAAGATCAGGGGGCTCTTTTTCGTGCGCCGTCTCGTCAAAGCGACCTTTTCCAGCTTGTTGAATGCGCGCTCGATGTCCAAGAGAGCAGTTGTGTCCCGCGGCCCCTTGATGCTAAAGAGACTTCCAATGTAGCTGCAAAAGTGCAATGCGTCAGCCGACTCCGACAGTAACGCAGTCGAAAGTGGTCCGGTGCACCTGCTTACTCTTCATGAAATTCATAGTCCAGTGCTTTACCCAGACGAATACGGAAGATCTCCAGGTCGCCGTGCGCCTCAAACATTGCGCATCCCTCTCCATTGATCTTGCGCATCGCTTCAAGTATCATGGAGGTCTTTCCAGTACCCTTCTCCCCAATCAGCAGGTAGTAGCGTCCCACTCCGCGGCCTTCCACGATTCTGTCGATCCGCGCTTGTTCATCGCGAATGACCCAGTGCTCTTCATGGTTGTATCTGTGTTTGCCCTCCTCAATCCCGGCAATCTCGAGCGCCGGATCGCCGGGATTGAAAGCATTCTCCATTTTTTCCAGGATCAGATATTTGTAATAGCGGTGATACGCATATCCCGCTAGACTAGCATATGGTCAGCGTACTCTGACTCCTTTTTTCCTAAAAAAAAAAAAAAAAAAACCAAAGGCATATCCTACCCTAGGATCGCAAGGGAGGCAAATGTTGTGGCCGCCGTCTCCATCATCTTCAGAAAAGTCGATTTCACAGTGGGTTCCTCTTCCTCCTTCGTATTCCGTTTCTTGCCCTCTTCTGAGGAACTTTGTTCTAATGGTTCCGACCCCGCTAGTACGGAACCCTGCGTGAAATTTCGTACAATATAAGGACTAGTTATACGGTGATTCTGAGGAAGTCTGGGCAGACCAGCCCGGGCGAGAGAACCCAGGGACCGGGAAGCATTGCGATATAACAACATCATCCGTCAGTGGGAACCTTTGGAGGTGTCCTGGAAAGTGTCGCAAGAGTCTCAGGGATGAACAGGTCAAGACAATAGAGCAAATGAGAGACGCTGGCTGAGGTCGGGAATTGAGCAGCCAGCTGGAGTTTGTGGTGTAAACGAAGCAATATCTGCGCAAGACAGGTGACGTATCTGATATACTACATTCAATGAGTGCCAAGTGCAATTATAAGGAAGGGCAATGAACCGAAAGAATAAATTCTGCCCATGCACGGACCAGGAGCCAAGGACTAAAGAGTGTCAACGGTGAGGAAGTCCACGACAAGCAAAGGAGAGGTGAGACAATGAAGTGGAAAAAAGAGTGTCGGGAAGGTTCAGCCAACAAGCCAGAAGATGAGGTGTATGTATGATGGGGGTAGAACCAATGATAGGTGAATCACGCGGGTCAATTATCGTTTATTGGTTTGCGCTGCTGCTGCGCCTCCGATCGTCCCAACTTATGCACCGTAAATTCTGGTAGTGGCCTTGGCGGTTGGCCACACTGTGGCTGACCGATTTCCAGAACAATAATACCTACTGTGTATGGATGCTAGTATAGAGACGCAATTGACGAATAGATTAAAATATCAAGTCCTGTTGAGTGTCATGCTTCACCCTTTTGAGCTTAAGATGGATCAATCTATCTGGCACGTGACCATCACAGGAACAACTCTACAGATCCATACTGCGGGCTAAGTAATTGAACAATCCACCGCTGACTGGTTCACCACAGATTGATCGATAACTCGGCCTTTCTGCCGAACTTAAGATAGTATCTGCCTCCCGCCCTACTCTCGGCCCTGAACATTCGGATCTGTGCATTTGTGATCATCGTGCACAGCAGAGTTGATTTGAATTGGCCTCGTAGTCGCCATGGGTGATCGGAGAATAAATGCTAAAATGTCGATGCCGAGCTACGGGAGACCAAAGTACTAGTAGTATCAGTGTCAGTGTCAGTGCGGGTTGAGATAGAGAGGAGCAAGAGACAGCGCATACTCCGTATTTTGACAATTCCATTGATGACTTTAATACAATCATACAACAACAGTCCATCGACAGCGCAGAAATGCATTGCCCCTTTTGGTCATGATGGAAGGCTATTGCTGTATTGTGGAGAAAAGGTTGAAACCGCCGTCTTTCCCACCCACCGCCCCGAGCACTTCCGAAGGTTTTCCGTATCCGCGAAATTTTCTCTCATCTGGCCGGTTTCCCCGTGTGCGCTTCTCCAGCTTCATTCCATCCTATCCCTCCTCTTCTCTCGACTTTACCTTATTCTCTTTCCCCTCACCCCATTGTGCGCTTCCCTTGATTGGTTTGGGATCTGGGGTTCGGTTTGCTCGTGCTTCAATTGATCCTCTCCTATACCTTGTATCATATTCTCTTCCTTTTTACCCTCCGTTCCATTTCCTTTCTATTCTTCTCCACCGCTACCCGAGTTCGAGTCATCCAAGTCGTCGCCAGGTCGCTACGCTTCGCTCATACTTCCAACTCTCTTCGCTTCCATTCCGATCCGGTCAATCCATTGATTATTTCGCAAAATGTCCCAGACCAACGGCGAATTGGAGCACTCGAAAGGTTCGCCTCCCCGGACTCTCCTACAACATGGAGATGTCGGTGTCCGACATACTAATTAGTTGCCCATGCAGAGTCTCCCGAACAGCAACTCAATGGCGATTCCCCCGTGGAGGGCCAGGATGAGGAGGTCAGCGGTGGTATGTATCTTTCTCAACTGTTCTAGGATGTATTGATTGCTGATGTACACGGCTGTTGACGTTCTCAGGTCTTTTCCAGATCTCCGTGAAGTTGCCTCGTGAGCCATACAAGATCCAGGTCATGGTGGGTTTCCATGTCTACAGGAAGACCATGCGGCCAGCATCAGGTTCCGTCGTTCTAACCGGTACGCTTCGTTAGGTGTCAAGCCAAGAACAAGTTCAAGATGTTCGCCAATCCATTGTCGAGCTTCCCAGCACCTTCCAGTACACCTGCTTCCACCTCGAGTTCAACGGTCAGCGCATCAACGACTTCGTCGAATTGTCAGAGGTACCAGATCTCAAGGCCGACTCCGAGATCGTCCTCGTGGAGGACCCTTACAATGAGAAGGAGGCCCGCATGCACGTCGTCCGAATGAGAGAACTGGTTGGTGCCGCTGGTGACCGTGTCGATAACCTCCATGGCCTCAGTGCGGGTCTATCTCTGCACGATGCCATTGCGGCCGACGCCGAAGAGTCTACCTCGGACAAGGACCACTCTCTGTCCAAGTATGAGATCGCTAGCGCTCCGTCGCTGAAGACCATTCTTCCCCGCGACGAGACTCCTCTTCCCAAGACCGTGAAGGCCATCTCTCTCTCTGCTTGGAACCCTCCTCCCTACCACCTGCGTCAGAAGGGTCACTTGCTCTACCTCCAGGTCACCACCAACGAGGGTGAGCAGTTCCAGATCACCTCCCACGTCTCTGGCTTCTACGTAAACAAGTGCTCAAACATGAAGTTTGATCCTTCCCCGAAGACTATCCCCAAGTGCGGCAAGGCCCACTCGCTGCTCTCTCTGATTGCCCACCTGTCGCCTTCCTTCAGCTCCTCTTTTGAAGCTCTTCAGGAGTCCAACAACAAGAAGGATCTTTTGACTACCTTCCCCTTCCAGAACTCCATCCCCAACAACCCGTGGTTGGTGCCTTCGCCCGCCTCGAACGCTAACGCACACCAGGCAGATATCACCCGCTCTCAGGAGAACTACCTGATCTCTGGTGTTGACAACGCTGAGACTTTGAGGGACTGGAACGAGGAGTTCCAGACCACTCGGGAGCTTCCTCGGGATACTGTTCAGGATCGTGTGTTCCGTGAGCGCTTGACATCCAAGCTGTTCGCCGACTACAACGAGGCTGCTGCTCGTGGTGCGGTTCTGGTCGCTCGCGGTGAAGTTGCCCCCCTCAATCCCACCGAGGACCGTGACGCCCAAATTTTCGTGTACAACAACATCTTCTATTCCTTTGGTGCTGACGGTGTTGGTACCTTCGCCTCCGAGGGTGGTGACGAAGCCGCTCGCGTTGCTGTCGGTAAGGATGTCTTGGGTATCAAGGCTGTCAACCAGCTTGACATTAATGGCCTGTTCACTCCTGGAACTGTTGTCGTTGACTACCTCGGCAAGCGCATCGTTGGTCAGAGCATTGTACCCGGTATCTTCAAGCAGCGGGAGCCCGGTGAGCACCAGATCGACTACGGTGGTGTTGAGGGTAAGGATGTTGTGGCTACCCACCCCGACTTTGTGTCTGTCTTTGAGAAGATGTCCAAGGCTCTTCGGGTCAAGAAGCACGCCGTCTGGGACAAGGAGAACCAGCGTCATGAGCTTGAGGGCAGTGTAGAGACCAAGGGTCTTCTGGGCACCGACGGCCGCAAGTATGTGCTTGACTTGTACCGCGTGACTCCTCTGGATGTGACTTGGCAAGAGGGAGAAGGCGGCGATGCCTACCCGCACCGCATGTCTGTCTTGAGATTGGAGCTCGTTGAGTCGTACTGGAGACATAAGATGAGCCAATATGTCAAGGCCGAGGTCGAGCGCCGCCGCCAGGCCAAGGCTGAGGAGGAGGCCTCCAAGGAGAAGACTGAGGAGTCCGCTGAATCCAAGGAGCAGAGCTCCGAGGAGAAGCCCGAGGACAAGCCCGAGGAGAAGACTGAGGAGAAGCCCGTGGAGAAGACTGAGGAGGCTCTTGATCAGGAGCGTGTTGACATCTCTGGATTCTCGCTTGCCCTGAACCCTGACGTGTTCAGCGGCCAGGTTCCTCAGACTGAGGAGGAGAAGCAACAATGGGCACAGGACGAGAAGGAGGTCCGTGAGACCTGCGACTACCTGCGCTCCAAGGTCATGCCTGAGCTTGTTCAGGATCTGCATGATGGAGATGTCGGCTTCCCCATGGACGGACAGTCTCTCAGCCAACTGCTGCACAAGCGTGGTATCAACATCCGTTACCTCGGCAAGCTAGCCCAGCTGTCGAAGGAGAAGGGTACTCGTCTTGACGCCCTGACCACTCTCCTCGTCCAGGAGATGATTGCTCGTGGCTTCAAGCACATTGCCAACCAGTACCTCCGCAACGTTCCGGCTCCTTTCGTTACCTCTTGCGTTGCCCACTTGTTGAACTGCCTACTGGGTGCTGATGTCAACCCCGACCCTCGTCCTGAGATCGACGCTGCCCTGCGCTCGATCTACCCCGAAGGTGATTTCTCTTTCGAGAAGGTCACTCCGGCTGTTCTCCGGGCCGAGATCGAGAAACAAGTCACCATCCGGTACCGCTTCACCTTGGAGGCTGAGTGGTTCAACTCTCTGCGCCACCTACAGCTCCTTCGTGACATCTCCATCAAGCTTGGTCTTCAGCTTGGTGCTCGCGAATTCGCCTTTGACAAGTCCCAGATCCCTGCCAAGCTGCCTGTCACCAACGGTGCCAACGGCTCTGTTCAGGAAGAGAGCAACGGCAAGAAGAAGAACAAGAAGAAGGGCAGCAACTCTAGCTCTCCTGCCCGTGCTCCCGTCGAGGACAAGCCGGCTCTCACTATCTCTGCCGATGACATCCTCAACATCGTGCCCCTCGTGAAGGATGCCGCTCCCCGCAGCTCGCTCGCTGAGGAGGCTCTTGAGGCTGGACGTATCTCCCTTATGCAGAACCAGAAGCAATTGGGCCAGGAGCTCATTCTGGAATCTCTCTCGTTGCATGAACAGATCTACGGCATTCTCCACCCTGAGGTTGCCAAGCTCTACCATCAGCTGTCTATGCTCTACTACCAGACGGACGAGAAGGAAGCGGCTGTCGAGTTGGCTCGCAAGGCTGTCATTGTCACCGAGCGGACTCTGGGTGTTGACTCTGCCGACACCATTCTGAGCTACCTCAACCTCAGTCTGTTTGAGCATGCCTCCGGTAACACCAAGACTGCCTTGGCTTACATTAAGCATGCCATGGACCTCTGGAAGATCATTTACGGTGCCAACCACCCCGATTCAATCACCACCATGAACAACGCTGCTGTCATGCTGCAGCACCTCAAGCAGTACTCCGACTCCCGGAAGTGGTTTGAAGCCTCTTTGGTTGTGTGCGAGTCGCTCTTTGGCAAGCAGTCTATCAACACTGCCACGATCCTGTTCCAGCTCGCCCAGGCTCTGGCTCTCGACCAGGACTCCAAGGGTGCTGTTGCTAAGATGCGGGATGCCTACAACATCTTCCTCAGCCAGCTGGGCCCCAACGACCGCAACACCAAGGAGGCCGAAACCTGGCTCGAGCAGCTCACTCAGAATGCTGTCTCTATCGCCAAGCATGCTAAGGACATCCAGGCCCGCCGTCTGCGCCGCATCAACATGACCCCGCGTACCCTTGGCACCAAGGTCCAGCCTCAGGTTGGCCAGTCCGCCTCCGAAGCTGCTGGCGGCAAGAACGGCTCTTTGGATGCTCGGAGCATCGATGAGCTGCTCCAGTTCATCGAAGGCGGTGACCAGGGCTCCTCCAAGGCCAAGCAGAAGAAGCGTGCTGCTGCCAGCAACCCCAAGCTCCGTGGATCGAAGAAGTCTTCGGCGTAAGCTCGATCTGATCCTTCCCTTCTTTTTTCCTATTTATGACGAGGTTATTGGGTAAAACGAAAAGCTGCCCTGGTTTTTTGCTTTCCTTGGCTTATCACTGTCTTAACATGAATGTTGTATTTTGACCCTATATATCCTTGTCAAGGGTCGATCTGTTGGATGAGCGGTACGTGTGTACTTTTTGTAAAACTCTCTCTACTCTTTTACACCGATTGGTGATCATGGTTCTATGTTGATTCTATCTATACACTTCTTGATCTTTCGTTCTTTGCCGGGCAGAGCATAGCAAGGTCGGGCGATTTGCATGCTATATCTGGATATGTTTACATGTACTATATATGACCAGTGACCTTCCAAGTGTGTCCGTAATGAATCTGAACGTGAATTTCTTTTTTTTTTTTTTTTTTTTTTTTTTTTTTTTTTCAATTGGTTGTTATTGTACCTTTTCCACTGTAGAATACCTGGTGAGTTGTGGTCTTCACCGCCCCCGACTCAGCTAACGGCGCTTTCCCGCTTCCGGCGATTGTGCCAATGTTTACGTCCCTGTGGTCACAACTCCAACTTTCTTTGTCCCTCTTTCAAACCTGCATGCGTCTTGGATTTTTCGGCTTTACCCTCTAATCTTATTCTGCATTGGAATCCATTGTATCTGCTACACATCATTTTATTTTGGACCTTGGAGACTCCGTGTTCCTTTCGCATCTCGCAAACTTGTATCAGCCGTCTAGTCGCTTGCAAGGTTCCGGTCGCGAGCCCGCTAAAGATGGACTATCTATGAACAATACTGAGCCCAACGAGTGCGATACCATCTCGCCCCTCCTCCTCCTCCTCCTCCTCCTCCTCCCCCCCTGCAGTGGCGGCCTTGAAACTGATTGAGTATCTGACGCGTAGATTGCGAGCAGGCCGACCGGCGCAACATGGAGGACATCCGACCGACCGCGAGGTGGGCAAATCGCATGTTGCGCCCTCTGACCTCCATTTACCACCGATTGGAGAAACACCATGAAATCCGCGCCAGTGTCACGGATGCGAAAACACGAGCGAATGCTGGCAATACCTATCCAGAACGCGTGGACGTACCAACGAAGCGAAGTGCTCAATCCGTCACTGACCAAGGTTGTACCTATCCGGACGATGAACCTGACGATCCCGCCTGGATACCTGGACGACCTCCCAGCCGCCGAATCCGACACAATTACTCGAGCCGCGGGCAAAGGAATGGTGCGCGACGACGGACTCGATTGTCGATTCCGAGTCCGGAGACGCAGCGGACGTTGCCCGGCGCGATCGAGATTGCGACTCCGCTGATTACCGGACGATCGCACGGGTCCCTAGACACCTCGTCGTCAATCAGGAAACAACTCTTTCGGAATGCCATGTCGACACTCAACGATGGACAGGCTAGCGACAATCGGAAAGGCACTCGTACTAGCAATAGCAGTTTCCCCGCGTATCAAGGCTCCTGGAAAGAAGTCCTTGACATCTGTGGTGACCCAGGATTTGTAGATATTGCGCGCTACTTGGATCATGTGCTTCTGAAGTTCTTGAATAATACTCGCGATGCCCCGACAGTCATCCCTCAACAGGAACATACAACTCTTACAACACGCGGACCGCGGTCGCTGATGTCAATGGCTCTGCGCCGCCTTCCGGATTTTGTTGCGCAGGAGCGGATATTACAAGACGAATATGAAGATGACGGGGACCTTAATATGTGTGATGCGTACTTCACGGAGCTGGAGAGCCACTACGCGTCCCACGGCAGCGGATGGCAGCCGCTGCGCGAAGCAGCGCGCGCCCAAGGCATTTATTTGATCTCGGAAATGATCCAGAGAGGATGGATCCCGAGACTGGCCGCTTGTCGGCTGCTGAGAGTCTGCTTGGAACATGATGAGTTCGATGCTTTTGAATCTCTGTTGTCCCGTTGCTTGCTTGACATCCCCACTTATGAATATCCCTTGGCTTTTGATACTCCGCAGGCTACGAATCATCGCGAAGACCCTATTCGGGTACTGCGTGCTTATTACTCACGCGTCCCTTCGCGGCGGTATTTTTTCTTCGATGAATTGGCGAAGCTTCTTACGCGCGGGGTGTTGCCTCCTGAGTGGATGGTCACGAACCTGTGGAAAAAGTGTGTTGATGGAGCGATTCAATCGGTATCTACCGGCGATGGTAATCATGCAGCTGCGACCAAGGTTGTCGAGGCTATAATCCTCGCCTCGGCTGGCATCTCCTTGGATATGGGTACAGTCTTAGCTCGAGTTGAAGACTCGCCAAGGCAACAACACCCTACCAGCGCGAAGGACACACGTGCGTCTACAAAGAATACGACTTCCCTGCTTGAAGGTCGAGCTCCATGTCCTGTTCCTATTCAGGACGCCTTGAGCAATCTCACCTCGAGTCTTGTGACTGCCCTGTGCGGCATGTGTATTGCCCGCACGCAAGCATCTGGGCTTGACGAAAGGATAAGTGGACTGAAAGTCCGACAAGTGGTTGAGCAATTCGCCTTCAGGGTACAAAGGGCCATTGGAATTGCCTCGACGCCGGGGGAGATTCCGGTGCCAGGCCTGCAACTTCTCCGTCGTGGGTACGTCCTATTGGGCGAGTTTATACTACGAGCTAGCGACAATATCCCGTACGACGACCTAATGGCGCACTTTGGTACAGTGTCCGAGCAAAACATCGACGCCTTTTGGGTTTTATTGGCTGGGCAGCACGAGATCATAAAGGAGTTGGCTGAATTTGCTCGACAAGTGTTCCACTGCTGCGGGCATGCACGCAAATCAGAGCCGACTCGTACTCCGCGGGCAATCAAGGACACGGTCAGTCGACTTGCTCGAGTGACGTCTCTGACCGGGGCGTCTCTCTTGCTGGATCAAGTTGCGGCCGAAACTGCGATGATGCTGGCGGAGATAACGCTGGATGCGGATGACCACGCATGGGCTTTGGAAATGCAAGGTGAGGCCATCTCATCACAGCGAGAGCACAGGGCGATGCGGCCTCCGACATCTCAGGGAGCACCTGCCGCGGAGATTAATGACACCTATCGATGGGAAGATACTATTGGGGAGTGGGTGGTAAAAACACCAGCATCCAAACCCCTGCCCGCCCGGCCGAAATTTGCGTTGAAGGCTGCCTGCTCAATGAGCAGCAGCGCTTCGCCCAGCTCAGCTCCGTCCGAGGCGATGGCTTCGAGCGTGACATCATCTGCACCATCGTTAGCCGGTAAGAGGGGGTGTACTCAGCAGAGCCCGGGGCTGCGGTCGCCCAAACGCCTTCGGTCAGCGTCACTGAAGTTGACAAGAGAAACGTCTGGCGCTACGCGCAAGGATTCAGAGCGCGTAGGCGAGTCAGATTCTGCCCCTGTAGCCGCCCGGACTCGCACGGCTCTGCGGGATCTTTCTCAAGCCAAAAATCGCGTGATCCAATCATCCCAGCCGGGGGGATCGGCCACCAGCAAGCGTGTGACCCCTGTTCAACCGCCGCCCCGGATCGAAGTGGTTATCGTCAACAGGCATACTCCTGCAGTTGACAGAACAGGGATTCCCTCAGATGCGGTGCTAGCCTGCAGAAAGTCGGCACGGTTAGCTCGAGCCTCGATTTCGCCTTTGGCTTGCGCCGCCACTACCAGTGTCGCGACTGAATCGACTCCAAGACCGTCTCGGCCTCGTGGCGCACAACGGCCACCGGTGGTGATTTCTTTTTCAGACGAGGATAGTGACGATGAGCTCAGTTTTTTGGCTTAGATTGTAGCCTACTTATTGTTGTTAGTGTTTGGGTATTGGTATTGATTTTACTATGCCCAAGTCTTAGGATGCATGGATTCTCGGGCATGGAGCCGGCTATTGGGTTTCTGTCGGTTTTTTTTTTTTTTTTTTTTTTTGTTTTTGTTGTTCATATTTTTTCAATGATACCCGGGGCGATTGTCATGATGGATTGTGATTGTTGAACCTGTTTAGGCGGTCTGTTTGATAGAGAGAAGTACTACTGGGTTGCACCTGGCTGGAAGGAGAATTCATCAAAGATAGCTGCATTGGCTGCTTTAAGACACGTTTCGGATTGAGGCAGGCATAGATTGAAGGTTATTCTTGGAGGTGGCCCGTCCTTTCCAGTTTGTTGATCGCAGAATCTTTTTTATCTCACGGGAGGGTCAACTGGAAGGGGTTAGAAAGTGTTTTAGAACCAAGAATCAAAACGTTGTCAGGTGTCACTCTCTGTCACCCAAACCTGTCAACCCCAACAACGGCCATCACTAGTGGTTTCAACTTGATGGGAGACCATCCCTGATGATTCTATCTATTGATCATGACCGGAGGTGGTACAGTCGATGATAGTGATGGGTTGCGTAGTGGTGGTTGACCTGCACCACTGCAGCTATCAATTAATCAATCAATCACTCATCTTCACCACCCACCACCACTACGGAGTACAAATCCGTTTCTTTTTAACCGCCCTCCAGTGTCAGACTGTCAGCACTTTCTTCACCAATCTTTCCAAATGCTGGTCGGCTAATAATTTGCTCTTCCCTAAACCTCAGTAACCCACTTTCAAGTTCTGTCCCGCTTTTCACTCCGCCGGTGTCGCTCGTCCTTCCGCCTGCATTGGCTCGCCCCGACGCAAGGGCGTCAGCCAAGCCGCAAGATCTCACCCCGACCTCCGCTTGATTGTTTCAGCACCGAGCCATTGAGCTCCATCGAACTGAATCGACCTTTCGTAGTCGCCCGGATCAGCCGCTGTGGCGGGCGCCCATTCATCCTTTCGTCTCGACCGCGATGGAGGCTGCCGATGGATGGATATGTCCAATTCCTGGGCATAGAGGCAAATAATAATCGCCCAGCCAGTCAGGAGTCGGTCTAGGACTGGCCAAGCTGCTCCCCTCTTCACCCCCCCCCCCTTCTCTCTCAACTTTCATCTCCACTCTCCACATGATGATAATCTGAACCAGAAACAAAAACAAGAAGAGGAACAAAAAAAAAAAAAGAAGAACTAACATTCCCAGCTTAGGATGGAGCTGACACCAATCCCGCCTCGGTACTACCTGTTGACAGTCCGCCGCCAGTGGGCCGAGAGAGAAAGATAGAGAGAGAGAGAGAGAGAGAGAGAAAGAGACTAGAGCACAGAGCTAGACAATTTGCAAACGACTAAATGCTAAATGAAGCAAAGGACCACGCGAGGAGATAGTATTTCGCTTGTTTCTATCTATCTATGTATAATCATAATCCCCACGGCTGGGGAACCCTACTTCAATTTGTTTCTCTTCTCCCTTGACAGTGTCTGTTTATTTTCTCTTCGCACTGCATTACTATTGATCCCAGGTGGTCCTTTCGTTTCTTCTACCTCCACTTTTGCTTCTGATCAACCCCCTTCCTTTTCTTGTAGGGGTCTGTGTCCTATTATTTTTCTTTTCTCTTTCTGGGGATATTGTCTCCAGTTGTTTTCGAGACTGTGGTCTAGCCATCGGTTTCATTTCTTTCATTCTTGTTGAACGCTGTTGGAACAAGTGACTGGTTCACCAAAGGCTCAGCATTCCGTTCGTTGCCCACCAGCCTCCACTATTTTGGCTCGAGTATTCGATTTCCCGGCGACCGTCCATTCCTCACTCCGTTCAGGACACTAAGGCTTTGTTGACGGTGGTGCGTCTTGGTTCGAATCTGCCCTCCGTGACAAAGCGAGTCAAAGGCCCGGGCGAGAGAAAGCGAGAACAACGCCTTTGTTAGGATCTCCATATCCAGGTGATCGTGAGATCCTGTTCACTGCCTTCTCGGTGTCCTTGATCCTCCATAAGATCTTGCAACCACCTAAGCTTGGTGGTCTGTGTAGGTTGACGGTTCAGAACACCATTTGACACTTCATTTGTCCTCCTTTCCTCGCGGAAAGCTCTTCTACGCAGAGCTGGTCTCTTAGAAGATATCCCCTCGTTTCGGCCTACGGGTAACTGTTGTTGAGTCCTTGCTCACTGTCCCTCCACGTTCCCTGCTTTCCATCTTTTTGTGCACTTTCTCGTTGCACAATGCTATCTTTCATTCTGTATACGTCCCTGGTTGGACTCGTCTCGGCTGCCGAGCTAGAAAAGCGTCATGGCGACGGCGCGTCAATCTATGAGATGCTCAACGACGACCTGGCCCGCCTGAGCTTGCTGGTGCTGGGGCTGATGGCGGCGGTTGTCTATGTGTGGAAGATGTGGCATCGGTTTTCGAGTCATCTGCGACGGCTGGCCAGTTTCAACAATGAACGACAACTATACTTCGTGACGCCCGACTCGATGCTATCGAAGCTCAAGACTCATATCACCTATGCGCCCTTGTTCCGAGCCCGACACAATCGCGAGTTCCAACTGTCTCGGGCCGTCAATATGGGCACCTTGCCGAGTCGACTCCATTCGTTTCTGCTGGTGGGAATTGTCGCCATGAACGTCGTCCTGTGTGTGGTCACCGTGCCGTACGGTACCACAGAGAGCACTGTCGCGGGAATCATCCGCAACCGCACCGGAACGATGGCCACGGTGAACATGATCCCATTGATCCTCATGGCGGGTCGAAACAATCCCTTGGTCACTCTGTTGCAGATCCCCTTCGACACCTTCAATCTGCTTCACCGCTGGCTCGGCCGTATCGTGGTGCTAGAGTGCATCGCTCATATTCTGGCTTGGATGATCCCCAAGGCTCAGACATGTAAGTGGTATTGATCAGTCCGCTGTTGTCGAACTTACTTAGGCTGACGTTGGATAGCTGGTTGGGCCATGATCGGAACTGTTTTGGGAGAGAGCAACTTCCTTCTTGTGGGCTTGATTGTGCGTAGTTGGGACCCAGTAAATTTGCTTCATGACACCTGCTGACGCTGCTTCTAGTCGGGATGTGCCTTCACAGCTCTTTTGTTGCACTCGCCTTCGCCGATTCGTCATGCCTTCTACGAGACATTCCTCCACCTTCACATTGTGCTCGCCGTGCTCGCGATTGCCTTCCTCTGGGTCCATCTCAACGGCATGGTCTCTCAGTACTATCTCCTGGTGGGAATAATCTTTTGGGCTCTCGAGGTAAGTCCACTCTAGATCAACCTCGATGGCAGATCGACTGACCTTGACGTGACTAGCGTGCTGCTCGGATTGTCATCATTGTGTACCGCAACTGTGGCCGCCAATCAACCACGGCCCATGTCGAAACCATGCCCGGCGATGCGATGCGGATCACCATCAAGATGGCGCGGCCCTGGACCTTCCAGCCGGGCCAGCACATCTACCTCTACGTCCCCGCTGTCGGATGGTGGACCTGCCATCCATTCTCGGTCGGATGGAGTGAAGAAGCCGAGTCTCTGTCCGACGAGAAGGGCATCCCGATGACTCGACAAGATATGATGGGCCTGCAGAAGACCACCATCTCCTTGCTGGTACGTCGGCGAACGGGTTTCACCGACAAGCTATTCCAACGGGCGCAGAATGCGCCCGGCGGGCGGGTGTCGCTGCGGGCTTTTGCGGAGGGCCCGTATGGCAGCATCCATTCGATGGATTCGTACGGCACTGTCCTGCTCTTCGCTGGCGGTGTTGGCATCACCCACCAAGTGCCGTTTGTGCGGCATCTCGTACAGGGCTTTGCCAATGGTACCGTGGCGGCGCGTCGCGTCACGCTCGTGTGGATCATTCAGTCGCCCGAACACCTCGAATGGATCCGTCCCTGGATGACCAGCATTCTGTCCATGGATCGTCGCCGGGAGGTGCTCCGGATCATGTTATTCATCACCCGGCCGCGCAACACCAAGGAGATCCAGAGCCCCAGTGCGACCGTGCAGATGTTCCCCGGTCGACCTAACATCGACACGCTCGTCGGCATGGAGGTCGAGAATCAGATCGGCGCGATGGGCGTGCTCGTCTGCGGCAATGGCGGTCTGAGCGACGATGTGCGGCGTGTATGCCGGAACCGCCAGGATCGCACGCAGGTTGATTTTATTGAGGAGAGTTTCACCTGGTGAGAGAGATCTATCTGGAACCCGGCACTTGACAGTTTGGCCCCCAAGGCCAGCTTTCCTTGACTGGTGCTGCTTGTATCTGATTTGTCCCCGCCATTGGTATGCATAGAGGTAGTAGGTACCTCCTAGGTACCTGTACCTAGTGCCTCTTTACAACTCTGGCTGCAAGCCCGGTGTCCCGATCTGTTCGGTCAATGATTCTGCCGCCAATCTTGCCTCGTGGTTCAAAGGGTATATATACTAGTTTTGCTGTGTTATGTTTTGAACTGGCTGTGGGCTGGCATGAGGCTCTGGCTGCGTATATACTTCACTTACTATACTCTTTCCACAATAAAATCTTCTTGTGCTTGTGCCTAAAACTGATTGGGCGTTGAGGTCCTTGACGTATTGATGAGTAGGAGGTAGTGATCGAACTGTGTAACTACTAGCTGTGTGTTGCTGCAGGTATTCCCCATGAGTGGTTGAATGCACCATTTGATTAGAAATCAAGCTATACGAAGGTGGGGCAGCCGAGCGGAGAGTTTCCCTCATCAATCCTCGGGTGTCGATGACAAATGCCCGATTAGAGGGTCCGATACTGTTGTATTCCACCTGTATGGGATGATTCTTTGCATCGAAATAGGCTCTGGTAACAAATCGTAGGTATCGGATCAACGGGACCAGACGGGGGCCCCACGCCGCAGCACAGCTTGAACGCGAAGTACTCCTCCGTACGTTAAACGTCGGGGGTACAAGCAATGGCATCATCGCCCGCCCCCTCCCCTCTTTTACACGAGACTATTCCATCGAATTCGTTGGTCCAACGCTGAGGAGAGTGAGAGTGAGCCATGAGCGGGCTCTTCTATAAAGTCCCGCAATTCTCCAGCGTGTTAGCTCGTTCGTGTCGATCTACCAGTGTCTTTCATCCCTTCACCTCCTCGACCTTTCTGTCTGCACAACTGTTTTCCACTTCTACCAAGATGAGCTCCCCGGATATTACCTTGTATACTGCTCAGACTCCCAATGGGATTAAGATCTCCATTGCCTTGGAGGAGCTGGGGTATGTTTCTGGAATGCTTCTTTCAATTGAAGCCGAAGCTGATGATCTAATCTCTGTGATCCAGTCTGCCGTACAAGGTTGAGAAGATCGATATCTCCAAGAATACCCAGAAGGAGCCGTAAGTGTGGCCCGCGTGTTTTTGGCCACTATCCAAAGATCACCTTCTCACATTTCACAATGATACACTCCATAGATGGTTCCTCGAGATCAACCCCAACGGCCGCATCCCCGCCCTGACCGACACCTTCACCGACGGGCAGAAGATCCGACTCTTCGAGTCCGGCGGCATCCTGCTGTATCTGGCGGAGCAGTACGACAAGGACTACAAGATCAGCTTCCCGCGCGGCACGCGCGAGTGGTACGAGATGAACAACTGGCTGTTCTTCCAGAACGCGGGCGTCGGCCCCATGCAGGGCCAGGCCAACCACTTCGTGCGCTACGCCCCGGAGCACGTCCCCTACGGCATCAACCGCTACGTCAACGAGACCCGCCGTCTGTACAGCGTGCTGGACCAGCACCTGGCCCAGAGCCAGTCCGGGTATCTGGTCGGCGACCACGTCTCGCTGGCGGATATCTCGCACTGGGGGTGGGTGGCGGCGGCCGGCTGGGCGGGCGTCGAGATCGATGAGTTCCCGCATCTCAAGGCCTGGGAGGAGCGCATGCTGAAGCGGGAGGGTGTTGAGAAGGGGCGTCATGTCCCTTCGCCGCATACTATCAAGGAGATGCTTAAGGATAAGGAGGCTGCGGAGAAGTCGCAGCGGGAGACGAGGGAATGGGTGCAGAAGGGGATGCAGGCTGATGCTAAGAAATAGGGACCCTGTAGGGGTTCCCCAGTATTTCTCCATACCTCTTTATAATCTAGCTTATATCATATCATTTAATCAATGAAAGCGGAGGTCTCCCCCGGGTAGTTTTGATATCATGTATATGGTAGGTATGCACTGTCGAAGTGAATGAATGAAGTCAGGGGTCTTCCCGGTAATTTCTATCTTGCCAATTTCTATCTTTATAATCTTCTGGGTTTCACCTGTTAAGAGTGAAGGTACTCGAGTCTCCCTCGGCAACTTTTCGACGGCCCATCTTTGGTGGATGTTGGGTTGTTCATTACTGAGCTCGAGTGTCGAGAATCAGAATGAGTTTACTGGGAAGCTGAAAGAAAAGGGGGGTCCGGGGGTTCTCCCCCGGAAAACTTCACAGCCCGATATACTAAATGAGCTTTCTGGGAAGCTGAAAGAAAGGGGGGTCCGGGGGTTCTCCCCCGGAAAACTCCATAGCCCAACATAATTACGATAGTGGAGAGGTTGAGGTGAAGTAGATATGAGGCCCGGGACGGTGGAAGGCGCGACTGGCTTAGTCAGGCAGCCACGTGAAAAGCTCTTGCCACTCCCCGAGGCCGGTTTTCTGGCCTTTGTACTCCGACTACTCGATCCCTCCCTCTCCTCGCGGACTCGAGGTCTACTGTCTACCGGACGCACCCTGACGACCTTTACTGACCACAGCGACATGGCCTGGCGTAACCAAGGAGTCACCGGCTCCAACAACGTCCCTCTGGGCCGGAGACGGTTCGGAGGCGACGAGGCCCCCGAGGACGAGAGTCGCACCGCGACACCGGCCTCTGCGGCTGGGGACAGCGCCTACAAGCGCGGTCGCAGCCCTGTCCGAGGTGAGTTGTTGTCAACTCAACACCATCCACAGTCAAACAGTTACACTGATACTGTCTAGCTGAGCCTCCCGCGGACGGTGTCAAGAAGCGCAAGAAGCGCAACCGCTGGGGTGATGCGCAGGAGAACAAGGCTGCCGGTCTCATGGGCTTACCCACAATGATCATGGCCAACTTCACCAACGAACAGCTGGAGGCGTATACGCTGCATCTGCGTATCGAGGAGATCAGCCAGAAGCTGCGAATCAACGACGTGGTTCCAGCGGACGGCGACAGGTTTGTCACTTCGTCCGACTCCCCGCTTCATTCTTCGGGTGCTAACTGCTGGACGCTTAGATCTCCCTCCCCTCCTCCCCAGTACGATAACTTTGGCAGACGTGTAAACACAAGGGAATACCGGTATCGGAAGCGTCTCGAGGACGAGCGCCACAAGCTCGTCGAGAAGGCGATGAAGACCATTCCTAACTACCACCCGCCCTCTGACTACAGACGTCCCACTAAGACTCAGGAGAAGGTCTACGTGCCTGTGAATGACTATCCAGAGATTAACTTCAGTATGATAACTAACCCTCTAACTCCTAACCGTTGTTGCGTACTCTGTATTCCTACTTGACCTCTGTGCTCGAGTCGGGCTTCTGATGACGACGTCGCCCGCCGTGGCGATGGGATTCTCCAGCTCGCTTCTTGCTAACCCTCTTGCTGCTTGATGTTGCACTCTGCTCCTTTGCTCATTACCCTCACCTCATTTCGAGAAGGAAACAGCTTGAACTAACACCTAGGCTTTCGCGCTATCTTTTCATAGTTGGCTTACTCATAGGTCCTCGTGGTAACACCTTGAAGAAGATGGAGACTGAGTCTGGCGCTAAAATTGCGATCCGTGGCAAAGGCTCCGTCAAGGAAGGAAAGGGACGCTCTGACGCCGCTCATGCCAGCAACCAGGAGGAGGATCTGCACTGTTTGATTATGGCTGATACCGAGGAGAAAGTTAACAAGGCGAAGAAGCTGGTGCACAATGTCATTGAGACGGTGAGTTTCTCTTCTGTCTTCTATAAAGACAACACTTTTACTCATGGGATCTAGGCTGCCTCTATCCCTGAAGGCCAGAATGAGCTCAAGCGGAACCAGCTGCGTGAGCTGGCTGCCCTCAACGGTACTCTCCGTGACGACGAGAACCAGGCTTGCCAGAACTGTAAGTTTCGGTGGCGTTGTTTTGCATTTCAACTCTAAACATGCACAGGTGGTCAAATCGGACACCGCAAGTACGACTGCCCTGAACAGCGCAACTTCACCGCCAACATCATCTGTCGCGTCTGTGGTAATGCAGGCCACATGGCTCGGGATTGTCCTGACCGCCAGAGAGGCTCTGACTGGCGCAACGGCGGCGGCTATGGCGGCGGCGGCGGCGCTGGCGGCCGCAGAGCCATTGGTGGCGGAGACGCCGTTGACCGGGAGATGGAGGTAAGGTTTTTGTCTCGGTATCATATGTCCATGTCACTAACTTTGGCAGCAACTTATGCAAGAACTGTCTGGCGGTGCTCCTGGAGAGGACGGCCACGTACCCCGTCGCATCGAGGCTGGACCCGATCAGGGCTACGATGACCGTGATGTGAAGCCGTGGCAGCGTGGTCCTCCTCCCAGCGATGTGGCTCCCTGGCAGCAACGCCGCGAGCGCCGCGACGACTACGGACCTCGCGATCATGGCAGTGCGCCTCCATGGGCTTCTCAAGGTCGGGGCGGTCATGGCGGCGGTCACGGTGGTCATGGCGGCGGCGACTACGGCTACGGCTCTCACGGTGGATATGGTGCTCCTGGAGCTGCACCGCCGTGGCAACAGGCGCAAGCTGCCCCTCCCCCGCCCCCGGGTGGACAGGCATCGTATGGCTACGGAGGGTATCCCTCTTACTCCGGCATGGGAGCTCCCGGTGCCCCTCCTGGCTTGAGTGTACCGCCTCCGCCTCCGGGCATGCCCTCGATGTATCTTGGCAACAGTGGCAGCCCTCCCCCTCCTCCTCCTGGCGAGGGTCCACCTCCTCCGGTATGTTCTGTTCATTTCAACTTGAAGCACACCTACTGACTGGGATCTAGCCTCCGAGCGAGCAACCTCCTCCCCCTCCCCCTCCTGCTTGAGCGATCTGATGTCGCAGCGATGAAATCCGCTAATTTCATTTGCTGAAAATGACTTATGAGAGTCGGTGGACCTGGAATGGAACTTGCCCAAAACTCGCAGGATACTATGGTGATTCACGTGGCGGGTGCAGTCTGGATTAGGCTGACAATGGCTCAGCTGCTTCTTCCATTCGTAGTCAATTAGTGTACCAGCTAATCAATCTTGAACATGTTTTTTTGTTATTTCTTCATGTTTTTCGTAGTGTCGAAAGTGGAAACCCGATGAACTGCCGAGGAGCAGAAGCCGAGTGACGTGTGTGGGGCCTCCCCATTGTTGGTGCCTCAGGCGGAGAAGCTTTCTCCGCAATTTCGTCGAGAGGCGCAAATCTATCATATTCTTTTCCTTCTCGAAGCCATCTTCCAGGAGCCCTCGCGCATCAATTGTACGATTGGGCCATGATTCGTCAAGCCCAGTCGAGGTTTACTTGATCTGGTCAGCCATCCAGTTCCTAGTTCAAGCTTTGCCCTGCTTTTCTTCCCAGCGAGATACACGAAGAACCTCCAGCCATAGTTAAATGGAGGGACCCGCCTCTTCATCCTCCACCACAACCGCCATGACCGGCGGGGACAACATCCACGGGGTAAACCCCGGAAGAAGCCTTGGAGAGACTGGGTTAGGAGCTTCAGGGGGCTATCAAGCCACGTCCCCCTCCCCGTCCCTCTCCTCCCATCGCAAACCATGGCAATCGCAACCCCAATCCCGCACCCGGCGCAGTTCATCGCTCCGCTCTGGGCATGAGCGTCAACAAGAGCAGCACCAGCACCACCAGATAGGCACAGCGACAAGACAAAATCCCTATGATAATACAGCTTCTGCCACTGCCGACGACAAGTGGTACCACGTCCATCTGTTTCGCGGAATGGTCAAGGACGTCAAGCGCCGGGCGCCGTATTACTGGAGTGATTGGACGGATGCGTGGGATTACCGCGTCGTGCCGGCAACGATTTATATGTACTTTGCTAAGTATGCTTCTCTTTCTTCCTTGTTTTGAGGGGGGTGTTGAGGCTCGGAGATTGGTTTCCTCCGGCTCATAGGCTCAGAAGGGAAGAGACCTCTCTGTCTGCAATGCATATTGGATCTGCAACTTCAGCTGACCGCGAGGATTTAGTATTCTCCCTGCGCTGGCTTTCTCGTTGGACATGTTTGAGAAGACCAACCAGAGTTATGGGGTAAATGAGGTGCTGCTGGCCTCGGTGTTGGGCGCGGTGGTGTTTTCGGTCTTTGCGGCGCAGCCGTTGGTTATTGTCGGGGTTACTGGTGGGTTTTTGTCTGTTCTTCCCCCCCCCCCTTGTGATAGGGGTGGAAAGGGAGGAGGGATGTATGTTCAGTGCTAATGGTGGTAGGTCCCATCACGGTATTCAACTACACGGTTTATGATATCATTGCGTCGAGAGGCACGAACTACCTGGCTTTCATGTGCTGGATTGGCATGTGAGTTATCCTCCGCCCTAGGTGTGGTTTCATGTGGTGGATATAAGTGCGGTGTGACTGAAACAGTCAGATGGTCGTTGATTATGCACTGGTTGCTGGCTATCACCAACGCCTGTAATGGGTTGACCTACGTTACGCGGTTCTCGTGCGACATCTTCGGCTTCTACGTCGCGTTCATTTACTTGCAGAAAGGCATCCAGGTCCTCACTAGACAGTGGGGCTCGGCAGGCGAGACCTCCGCCTATCTGAGTATCATGGTCGCCTTGTTGGTGCTCATGAGCGGGTGGATCTGCGGCGAGCTGGGGAACAGTAGTCTTTTCAAGCGATTCGTGCGCAAGTTCTTGGAGGACTACGGTACTCCGTTGACCATTGTGTTCTTTACGGGCTTCGTGCATATCGGCCATATGCGGGAGGTCGAGGTGGCGACTCTGCCGACGAGCAAGGCCTTCTTCCCCACGGCTGATCGGGGATGGTTGGTTCATTTCTGGGATATCAGCGTCGGGGATGTGTTTTTGGCGATCCCCTTCGCCATCCTACTTACCATCCTTTTTTATTTCGATCACAACGGTGGGTGTCAAAATCGATAGCAGATACGGCGAGCTAGATGTTGGCTGACACAGGTCTACCTAGTATCCTCCTTGATCGCCCAGGGCACCGAGTTTCCGCTCCGCAAACCCGCCGGTTTTCACTGGGACTTATGGCTCCTAGGTCTCACGACCTTCGTCGCCGGCCTGCTGGGCATTCCCTTCCCCAACGGCTTGATCCCCCAGGCCCCCTTCCACACGGCCGCACTCTGCGTGACCCGCGACGTCGCCGACGAGGACGACACGAACAAGGGCAAGGCCATCCGCATCACCGACCACGTGGTCGAGCAGCGCGTCAGCAACCTCGCGCAGGGTCTACTCACCCTCGGCACCATGACCGGCCCGCTCCTAATCGTCGTCCATCTGATCCCGCAGGGTGTCTTGGCTGGCCTCTTCTTCATCATGGGCGTGCAGGCCCTCCAGGGTAACGGCATCACGCAGAAGCTCATCTTCCTCGCCCAGGACCGCCGCCTCACCCCGGCGTCCAACCCACTCAAGCGCCTCAAGCGCCGCCCCGCCATCTGGGCGTTTGTGATTGCCGAGCTGATCGGGTTCGGCGCGACGTTCGCCATCACCCAGACCATCGCTGCCATCGGCTTCCCCGTGATTATTCTGCTGTTGATCCCCGTGCGCTCCTTCTTATTTCCGCGGTGGTTCACCGCCGAGGAGCTGGCGGCGCTGGATGGGCCGGCCGCCAGTCCGTTCACGATGGAAAGCGTCGGCGGGACGCATGGCTTGGAGGAGACGTTCGGTGCCGATGCGTTGGCGGCGAATGAGGGGGCGAGTTCCTCCTCGAAGAATCGGGGCGGCCCTAGAGATGGGGTCTTTGATGCCGTCACTCGCGAGGAGAGCTCGTCAGAGTCGGTGGTGGATGATGATTTGGAGAGGGGGGAGGTGTATGAGATGCAGAGGTCCGCGGTGCGACGGAGGAGTACCACGGGGGCTAGGGATTGATCGCTGTAGACATTCTAAAAGGGGTAGCGTTGGAGTTGGACGCTAACTGGTGGATAAAAGTTTCGATTGGCCCCGTTTATAGATACATACATATATCACTCGTCTAGAGATCGTATGTGCGTCGGTTCAATATGTCTTGTAGCATGTTTATGTGATAGTTTGACCGGCCTGCTGCCCAAGAAGAGAAAGCAGAAAGATATTGCTCGAGAGTGGGTGGTATTGTGCAGATCAAGACTCTCAATCATGTCGGGCTATCTATCCTTGACTCCAGATAAGACACCAACAACCCGCATCATGCGTGCGACAGGGCTTGCTTGCGACTCTAGCTACTGAAAAAGAGTTTGAGACACCAACAAACAGCAAAAGCAAAAAGAGATATCCAGAGAACTGGACAAGTCAAGGCCCGAGCCGCGGATCGAACGCGGGACCTCTCGCAGATATGCTTGGGTTTGTATCCCTAAGCGAGAATCATACCACTAGACCACCCGGGCTTGATATGTTTGATGCCTTGGTCTTTGGCAAAATGATCCATGAGCTAGAGTCCTCAGCACGTGCCAAATAGAGTTATACTGTGTAGAAAGTCACACTCGACACTAACCAGAACGAGCTAGATAGATACACCGCCTAGAGCGGTCAGCAATTCTGCCTTGCTATTGACACCAAAAAAAAAAGTCAAGCGCCGCGCAACTGCTGCACATTGATCTAAACCCACCACCCAGACCCCAAAATGGCGCCCTCACAGTCCCCCGAACCTGTCCTGGACCATCACTCCTCGTCCGAATCAGAGGCGGGCTCCGACACCGACAACGACGGCGGCGTCACCATCCAGCCATCAAACCAGGACCAGCGCGCCCCCAAGCGCAGACGCCTTTCCAACTCCTCCACCGATTCCTACGTCGCCGCGCCCCTCCCGGCTCCCCTGCCTACACTCTCGCGCATCAAACGCAAGGAGGACGTCGCCAAGGAAGCTGCAGCCAGAACCCCCGCCGACGAGAACCCGGTCCTCATCAAGGATGCCCTCGCCGCCGGGTTGGAGGACGCCCGCTCCTCGTTTACAGATCTCAAGGTCGCGCCGTGGCTGGTCGGCTCGCTGACGACGATGGCGGTACGTCGCCCGACGGCCATTCAACGGGCGTGTATCCCTGAGATCCTGGCGGGACGGGACTGTATCGGTGGGAGTCGCACGGGTTCCGGTAAGACGATTGCGTTTGCCGTGCCGTTGTTGCAGAAGTGGGCGGAGGATCCGTTTGGGATTTTTGGAGTGGTGTTGACGCCGACGAGGTAAGACTTTTTTTTTGGCCGGGGTGGAAGATAAGAAACAGCAGCAGATGAAGGAGAAGATTCAAGAAGAAAGTAGCTAAAGCAAAACAGAGAACTCGCCCTCCAAATCTACGAACAGATTAAAGCCCTCTCCGCCCCGCAGAGCATGAAACCCGTCCTCATCACCGGCGGCACCGACATGCGCTCGCAGGCGCTGGCCCTGTCGCAGAGCCCCCACGTCGTCATCGCCACCCCGGGCCGTCTCGCCGACCACATCCAAACTTCCGGAAAAGACACGGTGCGCGGACTCTCGCGCGTGCGCATGGTGATCCTCGACGAGGCGGACCGCTTATTGTCGCCGGGGCCGGGCTCCATGCTCCCGGACGTGGAAGTCTGCCTCAGCGCCGTCCCCAGCGCCGCAGAACGCCAGACCCTCCTCTTCACCGCGACGCTCACCCCGGAGGTCCGCGCTCTCCAATCCATGTCCTCTTCCTCCACAACAACAACAAACAAAGCGTCTCCCACCAAACCCCCCATCTTTGTCACCGAAATCGCCTCCGCCAACAAATCCTCCATCCCGCCCACCCTCCACCAAACCTACCTGCAAGTGCCGCTCACCCACCGCGAAGCCTTCCTGCACGTCCTGCTCAGCACAGACGGTAACGTCGCCAAGCCCGCCATCATCATCTTCACCAACACAACCGCCACCGCCGACCTTTTGGAGCGCATGCTCCGGCGCCTCGGCCACCGCGTCACCTCCCTGCACAGCCGCCTCCCGCAGAGCGAGCGCAACGCCAACCTCGCGCGCTTCCGCGCCGCCGCCGCCCGCATCCTCGTCGCCACGGACGTCGCCTCGCGTGGTCTGGACATCCCCGCCGTCGAGCTGGTCGTCAACTACGATGTGCCGCGTAACCCGGATGATTATGTCCACCGGGTTGGGCGCACGGCGCGTGCCGGCAGGAAGGGTGAGGCGGTCACGTTAGTCGGGCAGCGGGACGTCGGGTTGGTGCTGGCGATCGAGGAGCGGGTGGGTCGGAAGATGGTGGAGTGGGAAGAGGAGGGCGTGAGTGTGGAGACCAGGGTGGTTAGGGATGGGGTGCTTAAGGTTGTTGGGGAGGCGAAGCGCGAGGCTGCGGGCGAGATTGATGAGGGAAGGGATGTGTTGGGACGGAGGAGGAATAAGTTGAAGAAGGTGCGGTAGGTTTTCCGCTGTTGTTGGTAGGGTTATTGGTATAATAGTAGGAAGGGTTAGAGGGTGCATTGTATATACTAGCGCGATTGAATATGACGGTTTATGTTTATTGACTCAAGAGAACACGGCGGAGGTAGGAAGGGTATCATGATTGGCAAGACTAGCTCTCTCTCTCTCTCTCTCTCTGTCTCTCTTTTTCTGTCGCAAAAGCCATCCGGCTTCTCCCTGGTTCTATGTACATTACTTGTCCCGCAGTACCGAAAGCCTTGATCTGTGATGAGCCTGGAGATGCCGGGCTGGATGCCATCGGTCAACTCTACACACCACATAACCAGTCAAGGGCTACTACCTCTCTCGATGATTGGGCTCACCCCGTCCGTGTCTCTACTAGCTCAGGCTGCTGCTGCTGCTGCTGCTGCTCCACCGTCCCCATCAACTTCAACAACCCATCCACCGCATCCCCCTTTTGCGATACCCGCCGCTGCTTCTCCGGCAGACTCATCCCCTCGTCCTTATCCTCCAGCAATGCCCCCGTCCCCGTTCTCCGGCGGGACACCGTCGCAGGCGGGCTACTCAACTGCATCGGCGACGCCGCCTCTCCCCCTGCTGCTGCTGCTGCGGGGCGATACATCTTCTGCGTCGGAGTCTTCATTGGGTCCTCCTCGTCCTCGAAAGCCGAGGCTTCATTGCCTGTCGACAGGGGCGGCGACGACAGCCCCGACGCGTGGTGATCTTTTGCGTCTGCTAGATTGTCAGGCGAGGTATTGAGTTCCGGGGCGCGTGGTTGGAGAGGACATGGCGTAGAGATCGGCGCGAGGGCTGCCGCCGCCGGAGCCGGGGTCTTAGGGCCGGCAGTAGAACCACCAGTAGCAGCAGCAGCAGCAGCAGCAGCAGCAGCAACCATTCGTTGCGAGTCTTTAGGCGCGGGGATCTGTGCTTGCGCTGGAGCTTGAGTTTGGCTCTTGGGGGGAAGCGATAATCGGGGACATTTCCGGCTGTGAGCTTCGAGCTCGGAGAGACGACGGTCGAATTGCTGTGAATCGCGGACGTGACGCTTGGCGGTTTGGAGGCGGGTGCGGAGGAGGGTTGCTTTCTGTTTGCCATGGAGGTTTAGTTTTGTTTTATTTCCTCAGCTTTTCTTGGAGGTTTGGGGGGGAGGTGATAATTGGACGTACCTCTTGGATGAAGCGTTTGCGCGTCGCTGGGTCTTCCAGGATGGGTCGCGTTGTGGTGGGTGGTGTTATTTGTTGTTGTTGTTGTGTGGTTGTGGTTGTGGTTTTGGCGGGTCGGGCTGGTGTTGGTATTTGTTGCTCTACGTCTTCCTCGTGGTGTTCGTGTTGTTGAGTTTCTAGATCTAGACCTTCACCCTCGGGGGATAGTGTCGCGTCGGCTTGAGACTGTGTCACGCGACTACATGTTAGCTATGTCCCAGGGGGAAGAGGGCCGTGAATACACTCGTCGAGGGGGAAAATATTACCAAGATGTCCACTGAAGGCGCAGAAACCTCCGGAGTCAGCTCATCTTGCGCGTGGTTTGCGAGGGGTAGTGGTGCCGGGCCCAGCGCGCGCTCTCGGGAAGTGGTGCTCGCATGCTCGATCGCCCCGTCCACCTCGTCAATGGTGCGTTTGTGGCCGGCAAATAGAGGCGACGGAAGAAGTTTCTTGGAAGGAGACGTCGTCGTCGTCGATGACGGTACCTCCAAAAGTGGCCGTTTGGTGGGGGAGAGCGAGGCGTGGCGAGGCGACAGGCACGCGTTGGCCGTCTTCTCGCCGAGAATCCGCCTGCCCTCCTTGACAGGACTGGTATGTGCTGATGCGGTGGAATGCATGGCGAGTGCGGGGGAGGGAGTGAATGGTACTCCTGATGGATGTACCGAGGGCCTTTAGGTAGAGAGACTTTGGGGAAGAAAAGAGAAGTGTTGTGTTTCAAGGGGAGGTTGTATGTCTGTGGGTGCGTGTGGTGGACGTGTTGTGTAGTAATAAAGTAGTAGTTTGGTCGACCAAGCAAGCAACTAACTATTTACCCACACGTGCGTATAACAGCCAAATCGCAAGGTCAGCCGGTTCTAGACAGGGGCGGAAGCAAGGGTAGAGTCAAGACAAAGAAGCCAGACTCGGTCAGAAGAGTCAATGGCTAAGTTATTTGAGGAGGGATGGATTGGTGGTAGTTTAGTTGTGGTGGTGGTGGAGGTGGATTCGGCGCGCGTTGTGGTCCTCCGCGTCGGAGTCTCGGGGCTCCCCTTGCGGGCGAAAACTTACAGTAGTAACTGAACTAAATCGTCCTCCCCCACGCGTCAAGAGGGAGGCTGGCGGTTCAATCCCATTCTAAAGAGTATGTACTTGTAGAATGACTACTTTTCATCCTTGGTACAATGCAATTGTGCAATCATGTTCTGGGAACTCATTTCTGCAAACTCACCGATGTTTTCTAGCTGTATCTTTCTCGTTGCTCGGCCGCGTCGGAGGTTTTCTGCCCAGCGCGTGTCAACCTCGAATATTGGCAGCATATAGCTCCTACAAGCAAGTGGCGTTGGTCTTTGCATGGTCCTGCAGCTTTTGTCGCGAAACTGCGACTTTTAAGATTCGAAGACCTTGGCAGCCTGCATACTCTCCAAGGTCTAACATTCCTACAACGCACCGGGTTTCTTTGTCCTGGTTTACACTTCGCAGACAAGCTGGGAGAGTAGTGTACTCGGATTGGTGGCGTGGCATCTTCTGTGACCCGAAAACTCGGTGAAGCACGCGAATTCGTCTGCAGTTGTTGATCTCGTGCTTCCATCATACTGCGGGTTGTGAAGTACCGTAGATGATCATCTCCAGCGGAGCATGAGTGTGCTTGCCTCAGGCTCATAACTTGTGGGTTGGCTGCGATGCTGTGTGTGCCCCATACTCAATGCGATTCTCTGCTGCTGGCTACTCCAGCATTAATATAGCATCAGTGATTGAGGTTGAGACAATAGAGTTTAGTAAGCTCTGTTTTTCAACATATCCATGAGAGGAGGCCGGTAAAGGTTCCCCCCATTCTATATACTAGCGCAAAAGTGTTCTATGATGGAACCATGCACCTTGACTATTGCTTCACTGGGCCATGCGGGGTATGTAGACAAGACACTATATTGATCTTAGGCATCAAACCATAATGTTTCTCAGAGGTTCGTATCTGAAATATATCTTCAAATGCAGACTGTCAGAGGCAGCCTGACTGAAGTAAAGTGGACGAACTGTTTCTATGCATGCTCATGGCAATGAAGGTAGTAAGTACTAGACATAGGTACAGATCTCAATACTCCTGCTTCTATATATATGTATATATATATGTGGATAGCATAAGTACATTCAATCCTACCTCTAAAGGTGGAAAAAGCAACCACGGCTTACCTCAGCCCTTCCACTGGCTCTCCCCAGCTTTCCCCGCAAGTTCCTCCCCCTTCCTCCATCTTTTCCATCACTTTGGCTTCTAGGATCCTGCTCTAAGGTTGCAGTCGCGATTGTTATCTTCCTCTTTGGATATCGAGTAACCTACCCTCTGACAGACGGACATCACCTCTCCATTACCCTGTCGATCCCTGCTATTTATACTTCAACTTCCCCGCAGATCCGTCGGTGGACGCGCGGATTGATTGCATCATCGTCGGAACTTCTAACATCGAATCATCCCTGAACCTCGCTGCATCTTCTTTCATCTCTCGAAGACCTTCAGATGGCAGCACTATCGTTGCATCCCGTGTCTCGTTGATAGTATTGGCCTACCATTAGAATCAAACCATTCCTGTCGCGCGTCACGCCATGCGCTCTATCTTCGTGGCACTCACAGCCGCCCTTCAGGCGACTGTGAGTATCGCTTCCAGCTTGACCCCTCCAGTTCTGCCCTTGATCGTGCGAAATCCATATCTGAGTACCTGGCTGGGCAATGCCCGGGATGAGCCCTGGTCCAAATGGCCCATCTTCTACACCGGAGAAGAATTGGGTTTGTCCCTCATGGCACATGTTCCCAGCACAGGCGCTGTGTATCCTTTACTAGGCAAGCCTCATGAATCACTGTCGGGGTAGGTCCTCATCGCATAATTGCTCCCACCAAACCCTAATTGCCGCTCGGTAGATCGTCGCAAATCGAGTATCCAACCTATCTCGGAGCCAACTACGATGCCTCCACCACTAACTTAACGTATCGTCTCGATTCTGCGACGACCACGGGTCATCACTCGCTTGAGATTCTCGTATCCTTCCTCTCTCCTATCACCCCGACATCGACTCTGCGGCAGTCGATTCCCGCCTCCTACGTGTCAGTTCATGTCCATGGCAACGCAAGTGTAAATGTATACATGGATATTAATGGGCGCTGGGTGAGCGGAGACGCGGGCAGCCAAATTACCTGGCAATACGATGGATATGCCGCCGAGGACAGCAAGCCAGTACTACGCAGATGGCGTCTCAAGCGGGAGTCTGAGTTGCTGCTATCAGAAATACGAGACCGCGCAGAATGGGGTACTCTGCATTTCACTGGTCCTGCCGTGCGTCCCTGGACCCTATGCCCTATTGGGATCAGTCTCGTGCTAATGTATCGACTAGGGTGTCCAATATCAATCCGGAGAGGCCTCTGCCGTGAGAAGCATCTTCTCAACTCAGGGTGTCTTGGACAACGTCAACGATGATGCTTTTCGAGCCATTGGCGATCGGGAGCCGGTCTTCGCCTTCTCCAAATCTTTCGTCCTCTCGCCCCAGGATGGCCATACAAGTGACAGTGTGACCTTTACCCTCGCACTGATCCAGGACCCGGTTGTCCAGTACGCATCCGCACGCGGGTTGACCCTAATGCGCCCCCTGTGGGAGTCGTGGTTCGCCAGTGTCGAGGCGCTGCTTAGCTTTCATTACAACGACTTCTCCCATGCAAGCCGTCTGGCTTCCAACTACTCCCTTCAGCTGGCAAAAGATGCCTACCAATCAGGGGCTCATGACTATGTCGACATAGTGGCGCTCTCCGCGCGCCAGGTCATGGGCGCAACTACTTTCGCCGGAACTCCAGACGACCCAATTCTGTTTCTGAAGGAGATCTCCTCTAACGGCAATTTCCAGACCATTGACGTGATCTTCCCGGCGTTCCCCTTCTTCTTGTACACCAACCCGCGATGGCTCGCGTATCTACTGGAGCCCTTGATTGAGCACATGCTGAGTGGACAGTATCCCAATACTTACGCTATGCATGATCTGGGGACGCATTTCCCCAACGCCACGGGCCACCCAGATGGGAATGACGAGTATATGCCGGTGGAAGAGTGTGGTAATATTCTCATTATGGGCTTGGCGATTGTCAACTCCCTTCGCTACTCGGAGGATACTGCTGCAACATCCATCTGGTCTACACAGGGCGAATCTCCTGACTTGCCTGAAGAAAGCCAAGGCAAATTCCCTCTGGTCAATCTTCAGATGCTTGATGGAGTTGACCACCAAGATGGCAAATGGGGTGGTGGAACGCAAGGCGAGCACTTGGCTGAGAAATGGATCCAGCGTAGCTATCGCCTGTGGGACCAGTGGACGGGCTATTTGGTGGAGTTCTCCCTTGAACCTGCCAACCAACGTAAGTGACTATCACAAGGTTCACATAGAAGTGGACTGACATTTGGCAGTCTCCACGGACGACTTTGCCGGTTGGCTTGCTCTGCAGACCAACTTGGCCTTGAAGGGTATCATCGGCATCAATGCGATGAGTAAGTTGGCCGAGGTGGCCGGCTACCATACCGATGTCACCTATTACAAGGTAAATTTGGCAATCATTTCCACCACCACAGTAGCTAATGATGCCAGAACATCTCGGATACCTACATTGCCAGGTGGGAGGAATATGGCATGTCTCGAGACAAGACTCACGCCAAACTCGCTTACGACTGGTACGGATCATGGACGACAATCTACAACCTCTATGCCGACGCACAGCTCTGCTTCCACCTGGAGGGAACAGACATCGCTCCCCGCCCTTCCTCATCCAATAAGATTGGTCAAAAGCCTCTCACGCCTCCCTCAAACACCAAGAAGCACGGCTTCGTCCCACGCCACATCTACCAGCGACAATCGATCTGGTATCATAACGTCCGACAGAAGTACGGCCTTCCCTTGGATAGCCGCCACCTTTATACCAAAACAGACTGGGAGTTCTTCGCTATGGCGGTCGCCAGCGAGGACGTCCGCAGCGAGATCCTGGAGTCCGTTGCCAAATGGGTCAACGAGACGGTGACCGATCTCCCTTTAACCGACCTGCACAACACCGAGGGCAAGGGCGAATTTCCCGGCCCCAACTTCTACGCTCGACCCGTCATCGGCGGTCATTTCGCCTTTCTGGCTCTGCAGCGGGCCTGCGGCGGACAAGCAATGGTTGGGCTATCCTTCCTCGACGGCACAGAGCCCGACTCGTTCTCGACCAATACATTGGCCGAGTGGGAAGCGGCGGCGGCTCGGGCGGTTAAGGAACTCGGGAACCTGGGGAACGGCGATGAGTATTTGCGCGCGGAGCTGTAGCGGGGACCTCCTTCATTCCTTCTAGTCTCCCTTACATATAGACGCTTGACTCGCGGCAGCGGCACTATATTTGGAGATGGTTGGTACAATCAAGCTTACTGGTTTTTATCAGAAGAGAGCTTCCTGTCATTGACGTCCACTACCGCTTTGGCATAGTTCCAGATTCTAGACAATCCGTCCACGCAAGTGAGACTTCTCCCATCGAATTCATCTTCCCCTTTCCACTTCCCCTGTAGTCCGTATCCAAACATAACGAGAATATACGGCCACATAAGTGAGTGAACTGATCAGCAAACCCCTTTCCGTCACCTACACACCTAACCCCCGCGGTCCTTGAATCCGGGCCGACAGCCCTCATGATTATTTCCTATATCATACATACATCTGCATACATAAAAGACCCCCATCCCAAACCCAAACCCAAACTCAACCCAAACCACACAAAGCATAACATAGTCCACCATACCACATTGTCGTAGCCTTTCCACATACAGAACATCCACAAGCAAACAAACCACTGTAGATATAGATATGAGCTGGTATGATGTATGCAAGCAGGAGTCCTGCACTTCACCGGCCCCCTCACCATCCATGATGCGGATCCCTTCTCCATAACCCCGATGACTATTATTGTATTATACTCCGACGAACACACATTTACAGCCGTACACCGCACATACCCCTCTAGGCATATATCCCACGGGACTCCGTTCTTTGTGGCACCATTCTCAGAGTCCCATCCTTAGGGATCAGAGGTGTTCATTCCACGAAATCAAACTAGCCCAGAAGGAGAGGAAGACGCTCGTAGATTATGCCCCAGCCCAATCCATGGCCTCTCCCCTCTTCTCCCTATCGATCCCGGAACGGAAAGTCAAAGCGTCTTGCAGTTGGTGTTGGTTTGAGTTTACCGCATAGTTGCACGCGCGAAATTGGGGACGAGGAAGAGGAGGAAGAGGAGGAGGAGGAGGAGGAGGAGGAAAGCTAGACACCCGTTCTGGTACCTCTGGGGATAGATATTTACTCGTTTAAGGGAGAGGAATTTCTACACTAGAATAGAGGGGGTTGTCGGGGGGGGGGTGGTGTTTATCTTCACGGCATGTTGCTTGGTTTGTTTGGGGTCTCTCCTGTATCATATACTCGTTGCCGTGGGTTTTCTTCCCATGCATGGGGGTGATGGTCAGGTTGCTTCAGACAGGGTCATGCCCTGGGTCATGATGGACTCGAGAACAAACTGCATGGCAAAGACAATAAATACAGCTACAGTCCATTAAACTACCATCTGGAGAATAAGTACGTAGGATTTAAGTAGCTACAGCGAATACAAGGAATATGTTTTGAAAGATTGGAAAAAAGAAAAAATTTTCGTTTTTTGGAGGGAAAACCGGTGAGTTATTTAGTTAAAATAAAACAACACACACAATATACGCGCGCGCGAGCAAGGCACACACACGGCAGATTTGACACATGGGACATGACGTTGTGTAGGTTAGGCATGAACACATTTATTTGCCACCGAGGCTGGGGAAGTTCTTCTCGTCGACGGTGACGGAAGCGCCGGTGGTAGCAGCAGCGCTGGGGCGGGGGGCGTTGGTGTTGTTACCACCACGGCCACCACGGCCGCCGCGGCCACCGCGAGTACCACGGCCACGGGGGCCGTTGGCACCACCGCGGGGGGCCTCGACGAAGCGCATGTCAACCTCGAGGAAGTTCTTCTCCTTGCGCTGCTTCTCGCGCTTGGACTTGTCCTCCTTGCCCTTGATGTAGGCCTCCTCCTCCTCGCGGGGCTTGAGCTCCTTAGCGGCGGCCCACTTCTTGTCGAGCTTGGTGCCCTCGTTGGCGGCACGGACGGGCTTGGCGCTCAGGTCCTCCTGGGCAGCCTTCTCGGCCAGGTAGTCGGCGAAGGACTTGGACTTGTCAGCGGGCTCCTCCTCGGCGGCGGGAGTCTGGGGCTCGTTCTCGTCCTTGTGGGCGATGTCCTCTCCGGCCTTCTCATCGTCCCAGGTCTTGTCGCCGCTCTGGTTACCCCAGCCCTGGTTCACCTGCTTGCGGGTGTCGCTGTAGACGCATGGTTAGTCTTGTGGGCCAGTGTCGAAGCCCCCCTTCCAAAAATCCAGGACGAGGATCGCAAGGAAATCGGTGGGCGGCAGTATACAAAGAACAGAGAAGGTGCTTACGTCTGGCCGGTGCGGGACTGGCGGTCGTGGCGGACACGCTCACCACGCTCACCACGAGCGCGGAATCCGTGCCGTTGGCCCTCCTTGGGGTCCTCAACGGCCTTCTCGCGGTTGTTGTTGCGGCCGGCGTTGCGGTCGCGGAAAGCTATCCGATCGAAGTCAGTCGGGGTGGGATGCGGTCGGGATAAGGTCACATACCGGCCTCGTTGCCAGTGGCACGGTTACCACGGCGAGCGTTGTTCTCGGCACGGGGCTGGCTGCTGGGGGCCTCCTTGGGAGCATCGCGCTTGCCAACACGCTGAGCGGGTCTGTCTACAGCCCTCGTGGGAGGCTCAGGCTCTCTGTTGGGGTCCAATTCAGGGTCATTGCCTGTGCGCAAGAGCGAGCAAGAGATTAGACATTGATCGTTTCTTCATTATAGAGCAGGGCAGATGGAATTGGAGAGGTGGATGGATGGATGGATGCAGGAATGGCTGCCGAACTGTGGATCGAACCGCAAGTCGCACGAGGCCATTCTTGCAGGGCAAGGTGAATTCAGAAAGCAGGATGGAAGAGGGCGAGAATTACCAAGAAGCTCGTAGAGGTTCTGTAATGCATCACAAAAGTAAATGTTAGCTAGACTTGTCTGATCGCAAATGATTGCGGTGGGAGTTTCTTTGTGTGGGCGCTGGGCAACCGAATTGGACCGGGAGCACCTCGTCAAATCCCTCGCTCACAACCCCGCTCGCTCTCTTCCATTGCAGAAGACCTCCCAGCTCAGTTCTTTCGGCCCAGGATCTCTAGAAACGAGCGGATCGACGCGGAATTTGGTGGTGCTCGCTCCCAATCACCTGGCAAGCTGTCGCCAGCAGCTGCTCTCCTCCCCCCATGACGAGCAGAATCAACGCACCTTGGACCGGACGTCCGCCATGACGCCTGGTTTTATGCGGGGCCTTCCGGGGGAAGGCTCTTGACTATCGCAGCAATTCGGGTCCGACTGAACGGGTGACGGATGGTCGACACAGGCAGAAACCTAGACGACGATAGGTATCCGGCCTCTCCTTGAGATGGAAATGAGATGGGGAGGGGGGGGGATTAGAGGATAGTAGTCGGAGTGAAGGGGTTGACTGACTACGGTGGATGGAGGCAACGTTTGTGGTTGCACTCGCCCAATACGGTAAGGCGCGGATTGCTGCTAAGCGAATTCGGCAAAGAGCACCATGATTGGTTCAAAGGAGCTAGGGCTTAGGGTAAACGGCCAGCGGATGACGCCCTGATGATGCTCAAGGACTGGGGGAGCTTCTTTCAAAGGTTAAGGAAGAAGCGAAAGCTGCAAATGTTAATTGTTGCCGTATCCATTGGAAGCTGGCAATCTGTCATCATCGATCATGGGGGTGAGGCATATTCATCTTTGTAGGTGGTGGGAGAATTTAGACGGTGGCTAGACTCATGACTACGTTCCAGGCTGGTTTTCTCAGTGTAAGCGAGAGCATACCTAAGGTACGGAGGACCTGCACCCTCCCTCTCCCGCCTATCTATAGCAATTGATAGATCCCCCCCCCTCCTCCCCCAGGAATTCATCATTGGGTGTTATGTCCCCAGTCACTCAGCTAGTGAGCTTGCAAAGAACGAATTGAAACCATCGACTATTCCTCTTCTGTAAGGCTGTGGCTAATCTGCTCCGCCATTGGATCGTGCATGCTGAACGATGCTGTCATTTGTCCGACCCATGTTGCTCACGTGTTAGCACTCATGTGACATGGCAGCTGCCACCCACCCGAGGTCCAAGCTACCAAAAAATGATTCAGTATCGAGTCAACCCTTCAAATATATTCATAGAGCTGAGGGATGGCTTCGACGCAACTGCTTGGCAATCCGGTCATGCATATATAATGTAGTAAATGTAGATAAACAGTAGGCCTTCCTTGCATGAACCACTTTCCTTCGATGCTGCTTTTCTGTGAAAACCCATCAAGAATGCGACATATGCAACGTCCAAACAAACAAATCAAATGGTATCAGGTATCAACCGCAAAACGCCAAGCAATGCTTCGCAGTTTCAACTTTTGTCTTCCAATCATAAAGATGCCCGAAAGGACGGTCAGGGAAAGAAGCCTGCCTCCATCCTCGCGAACAGCACCGTAGATGAGCAACGCATGAAACAGAAGCAAACATAGGTAAACAAGAAATCAATGACGCGTATGATTTTGTTCATAGCTAAAGGGTGTTTGAAAGTGCATGCTGGCACTCAGCCCAAATGGGTCGGCATCCAGCATGGGTTCATAGTTGCCCAGAAGGTGATTAGAGGAGGTGGACGGGGCATTGGTGGTGCCATACGTGCCGTTGGCCCCCTCGCCAGCTTGTGGGTGGTACTGGTTGAGGCCATGCTGTCCCATCGGATGGGCGCCCTGAGTCACGGAGCTGGGGTTATTGTAGCCAGACACATAGGATGAAGCCCCGACAGCCGACTCATGCTCGTCGTCCATCAAATCTGCCTGGGCATCATATTCTTGTTCTGCGCGGAAATTAATACCAAGGCCCACAGGGTCACGGACAGATGTCTTACCTAGCTGATCGTAGTGCTTTTGGAAAGGAGATGGATAGTAGGCTGAAGCGACCCGCGAAGCACGAGGACCCGCACTGCCGGGTAGAGAAGACTTTGGCTCACTTGTATCCGGCTGGCCGATACTCATAGGAGGGGTCGTCTGGCTGAGGTTCCGCGAATGGGCAATCATCTGCGAACGCTGACTGTGGGGATCTACGCCAGCTGGAGACATGGCACCCTGGAAGGGGAAGGCAGGGGACTTGGCGTGGGATGGGGAGGAAGCATGCGAAGGTGGCGTGGCCTGGTACTGAGGAGAGGGGATGCCGTATGCACCATCGCGATGCTGAGACATGCCGAAAGGCTCCTTAGGGGCAATGCCTTGGGGATGTCTTTGGGCAGAGTTGCGATTCACGGCAGCGCGCTCCAAGGCGGAGGGGGGCTTGGTTGTCATCAGGTTGGGCTTCGCCGGAGCCGACCCGGGAGGCACAGCTTTGAGTCGCAATTCGGCTTGGACATCGATGCCTATGAACTATTAGCATGGCTGAAACAAGATCAGTATAGGGGTTAGCCCAAACCTTTTTCAAGTAGGATACGTTCTAGTAAGGAATTCTTGTACCGCAGCATCAAACATTCATCGGCTGCGGTGCGATGATTCTGCTGCAGCGTCTGGAGAGACTCCTCATTGCGTTTGATCGTCGATTCCAGCTGACGGATGTACTCTGTGCGACGCTCGCGGAAAGCAGCCTGGGCCTGGCGATTGCGCTGCTTTCGCTCCTCTGAAGTGGCGTAGATCTGATAAGGGACGGGTTAGTGGACGAAGCTAAAATGCACGAAGATAAGAAAGAAGGAATCAGGGACGAACAAGGGGGGCAAGAATAAGATAAAGCAAGTAAAGAGGGAGAGTAGGTGCATTGAAAGATAAAGCAGGAGGGCGAGGGAGAGATCTGACAGGACGATAAGGGAGAGAAGGGAAAGATGATGATAATGATAAATGATAATCGTGCGGGGCCCCGGACTGACACGCAGGGCCACCACCCGCCGCAATCCACCACAAGAGATAAGAGATGAACCAGAGGGGGGGGGGGGGGGGGGGCATATTATAAAAAGGGGAGCAGAGGATCTCGTTCTTCTTCTTCTTCAAAATCAAAGAACACTTTCTTACGTACAGGCTTTCTTCCACCCTTTCGCTTTTGTGTCTGGGCCACATCTTGGGTCAAGATCTCGCCATCCGCCTCAGGCGTGGACACTGCTGAACTGATCGAACCCTCAGGCAATGGTTCCGACTTAGGAACGACCAAATCTGTGGCCGGCTCATTTTGAATAGGATGACTGGTGGTCTCGACCATAGAGACCATTGGATTCTAAAGACAAAAGGGGGGGAAGGACGGTTGATGTCTGTCCCCCTCTTCCGTGAGATGATTCTTTTGCCTGGATGAGAATGATTGCCCTTGGGGCTCTGGGGAAGGGGGGGTGGGGAGGGTAATTGGAAGAATTTCCTTGGACGGCGATGATGTGCCCCCCTTGCGTTGTTGCGTGTGTGAGTTGGTGGTAAGGAATCTGATGGTGGAAGGTGGTGGATGAGTCACCCAACAGAATCCGGGGTTTGGCTGATATAACCTAAAAAGCCAACGGAGGGGAAAAGAGGAGAAAGAGGGGAAACTCTTAGATAATTCAAAAAAAGAAAAGCCTCCTCCCCGGAAAAGAAAAAGAACAAGATGACAGATCGAAAAAATCAGATATGCCTCAGGAACGGATCAACTAAAATTGATCTTCTTTCTTCACAGAACCCGATGCGCACCAAAACTCGGGGTAAATGCGAAGGGAGGCGGTTTAAGATTAGATGAGATAATGGGGATGTCTCAAAAAGGTAAAATGATAGGGGAAGAAGATTGATCCCGGCGGGGAAGGGCTGGACTGCTTGCTGCGAGATAATAGCACTCAAGTAGTTCAGACGCAGCAAACGCGCGGATGGGCGGCAATGGGGGAGGGACGTGCGAAAAGCTCAAGGCTGAGTGAGGGTCACAGGGGAGTGCAGCGGAGCAAAGTGCCTGTCGTGACATAAAAGAAATTGGAGAATAAGTGGTGTGAAGAAAAGAGATAGGCAGAAAGACGTGGTGGGAGGAAGGAGAAAGAGGGAAAGGGCGAGAGGGTGGGAAGATGTGAGGTAAAATTATTTACTAAAAAGAACGGGGGTTGACCTTAAGAGACTAGCCAGAGAAAAATTGGAGCATGAGGGAAGAAGAGAACAGAAGGGATGGATTGGAGGGATTGGAAGAGACGAAAGAAAGAAAAGAAAAATTTCATCATCTCATCTGATTATTATTAACTACTTCTACTCCGTCCTTTGCCCTCTTTCTTTTTCTCTCTTTTTCTCTATCTCCTGATGCTATATGCTCCAGCTGTTCTTCTCACAGTAGAATTTTCTCACTCGCCGTTCTCTGTTCTCTGACACTCTCCTCGTCAAGATTTCCTTTAGGGGAATCCAGACAGAAAAGTACGACTGGCCTTTCCAGGGGAAGGAGAACAACGAGGGGAAAAAAAGAGAAAAAAAAAAAAGAACCAGGAACTGACGATCCAATCAATTCCAACCCCTCCTTCCAATCCCTCTCGGAGGGGTTTGCGCTGAGAGACAATATCGCCGCTTTCCAGAAACTCTGGCCGAGCCTGTCTGACGGCCATCAGCCATGGAGTTCCGTTCTACTTTGTTTCGAATCGTTCTCTCAAATGATTGGTAACCTCATTTGAGATGGAGAACTATACCCGACTTTTTACTCCTACCATCCGTCACGCAGAGGAAGGGAGAATTGTCGCCGCTGCCTGCCCTGCTCGCCTCCAGCTAAGGTAATGTCGGAACGACTGGCAGTGGCAGCATGTCTCCCACCTGTTGCCCTCACTGGGTTGGCAGCGGCACCATTTCCCAGAAGAGAGAGAGGGAGTATCCACCACGAGGTCTGACCCAGCCGATGATCCGCCCAAGGTACGCCAGAAGGCAGCAGACAGCGAGCGAGTTCTTGCGCAGCAATAGATGTCCAGGTCGTCTCCTGACTGGCCGCCGGCTCGTCCGCGCTGCCCCATGCAGGGCAACGGGTGGAGAGGTGGGAGGGAAGGAGAACGTGTCGCGCGGTCTGACGCTTTGGATCGCGGTCCGCGGGTCTTAGGGGATGCATCAATGCTTTGTGTTTGGATGTTGCATGCGCTCCGTCGTCATCCCGGTTGTTCGTCCCACTGGAGAAAGCTGTAGTACGTAGGTATGTATATGTAGGTTGCTTCTTTTCCAGAGCAGAGGAGTGTGCTCCTGCGAGGCACCTCCTGAGTCCTGAGCCCTGACAGGCCATGATGATGGCTGAGAGCCTGCGAGGAGGCTTTTTCCTCTGGGTGCCCACAGCCCGCGGAGATGTTCCGGCCGGGCAACGACAACACGACCATTCAATAATCAGTGGATGGTGGCCGGAGGAGCCAGAGTTTTCTCTGGGTTCCGTTGGGGCGGAATTCTTGTCCTCTTGCATCGTTCGACCCTCCCTCCCCTTCCATCATCGGTGATCAGTTTCTGCTGCAGGCAGTGAATTGGTGCCTCGGTTCGACGTAGCAGCAGACCTAATGGTCTTCCTTGTCGTCTTGTCTGACCAGTTGTCATGGAACCACCAAACCTTCCAAAAACACTCGTGACCAGACCTGACGAGGATTTTCCCTGCCTCCGCACGGGCCGGGGTCTGGATTGACCGCTGTGCTTACCATACCATACCAAAGCCGCTCCAGGAATGACCAGTGTTTGAAGACATCCTGCGACACGAGCACTATTGAGGTTTAAACAGCTACTACTAGACTATATACATAACTTACTTGGAGACCTCCGATGACCAGGCTGTAAGAGGAAGGGAATTCCTTCTGGGTAACCGGCCCTCGCCTGCCACCAGGTCACCTACGCAGTCTCGCAGATCTGCAACCCCAGCATTGCTGACTCCGAGCCTGGGCAAGTGCGGGAGGGGAAATCATCACGAGGTGCAGTCAGGAGATCAGCTGAGGGCTTCGGAATGATGGATAGGCATGGGCTGATGGGTCAATTAGTTACTGTGTTTTACATTGGACACTGATCGCGGAGGAAGCGCTCGAACTCGACAGAACAACTGTAGAAGCTGGACCCTGCCACTTGTGACAAAGCAGGAGGGCGTGCTCTTTCTGTACGACTTGTGAAAGGATATGCTATACTTGATTTTCTTAGCTCGAAAGTGTATTGAAGACTCTCTCTTTCGCCTGATGTCATACCTTCGAGTTAGCGATTGGTCGCATTCGTAAACACTTGACCCAGGCGGGGAACCTTGAGACAGGTAGAGACCAGCACGAAATGAAGAGGATTAAGGTACCTAGTTACTTCAAGTGTAATCCATTGAAACCGCATACTTCCCCGAGAACCTTTCTTCATCACTTTGTACTAATCAATGTGAACTTGAAAGTTGTGGTCGACCTGAAAATGAAGTGGTTGTCGGCAGCCGCAGGCAGCCTGGTGTGTATTCCGTAGTAGCCAAAAGGGACCGACCGAGAAACCTCGCTCCAATGCCATATCCGGCTTAATCAGTCATTTCTTCTCCCCTTCACATGAAGAGCAGCTCAACTTCCAGGGAGACTGAAACCAATATTCTTCAATTTATTCCACACCCACACCTCCTTGAGTTCCCTATTCTTCTGGGCACACAACCCTCCATCCCTCACTCCTCTTTCAGCAACCACTTCTCCTCCACAACTGCGCGAGTCCTGCGCCGTCCGAGAGGACAGAAATAGGGACTCTTTATCACCTCGAACCCTGAAAGCAGTATAATCCGTCACCACCACCTCAAAACCTCGGCTGTACAAAAATCCTACGCCCCAAAAGACCAAAACCCGACCACAAAATGTCCTCCTCAAATCCCAACCCCCCAGCGTCTCAATCCGAGCATGTCACATCTCCCGCGACCAACAACCCCTCCACCAACCCCGCAGAATCCGAATCCCGCTCCGCCACCACCGCCACGAACACAACCACCCCACAACGCCCTCAACCCGCCCAAGTTGACGACGAGGACTCCGATTTCGATGAGCTGGACGGTAATTACTCCCCTTCCTCTGACCTAAGCATGCCGCTTGCAACCTAACACAAACTGAATCTATCTAGATGTCCTCGACAACTTCAACAAACCCCCCCCAGCCTCAGCCCCAGCGCAAACCACAGATGCACCAACCGAGGATGTCGATCTTGACGAGGAAGCCTTTCTCAGACAACTCGAGAAAGACATGGCTAGTCTGATGGGCGCGGGCGGCAGCGGAGCCGATAACACCACCACGACGGGTGCAAGCGCAGGGATCCCGGACGGGCTCGGCGATGGCGAGGAGGCGCTTGAGAAGGACGCAGAGATGTTCGCCAAGTATCTCGAGGAGAGTGGGGTGTCGGCGGAGGATCTTCTGAAGCAATTGGTAGGGGATTTGATCAAGGGAGGAGGAGATGGTGGCGCTGCTGATAATGGGAAGAAAGACGCGGGGGGGGGTGGTAGTAGTAAAGCGCAGGGGGGGAAGAAGAAGAGTAAGAGTAAGAAGAAGACTGGTGGGGATGGTGATGCTGCTGCTGCTGGAGAGGCGTCTGGGTCTACGGTTAAGACTACTGCTTCTGCCGCCGCTGCCGCTGCTGCCACCACCCCGGAGACATTCAACGATACTATTCAGCGCACGATTGAGCGGATGAAGGAGTCTGGCGACAAGGCGACGGCCGCGGCCGAGGAAGAAGATGCGGATGCGGATGACCTGGTGGCGCAGCTGATCAAGGCGATCGAGGCGGGCGGCGCTGGGGGCGACGGGAACGAAGCCGACCTGACCAAGATGTTCATGGGAATGATGGAACAGCTGTCTAACAAGGAGATCCTGTACGAGCCGATGAAGGAGCTCGACGCCAAGTTCGGACCCTGGATCGCAGAGAACAAGGCCTCCGGCAAGGTTTCTGGGGATGAACTGGCGCGCTACGAGAAACAGGCCGGCGTCGTCGCGCAGATCGTGGCCAAGTTCGAGGAGAAAGGGTACACGGATGAGGATCCCAAGTGTCGGGAGTATGTGTGGGAGAAGATGCAGGAGGTGAGTTTCCTTGCAGAGGCTGAGTGTTGGGATTGATTGATACTGACATCACATTGCAGATGCAAGGCTGTGGTAACCCTCCCGATGAGTTGATCTCGGCGCCGATGATGGAAGATCTCATGGGTGGAGGTGGTGGTGCTGGCGCGCCGGACTGCCCGCAGCAATGAAGCTTTAGGACTGACACGGATGATTTTGGATTGATGATACGAATTTCTGGGTGGGCCGCCTGTCTATGTATTGTACATATATCCGTCTGTTTGCGCCATGCCCTAGACTTTTGTCGCAATGGCTTGATATTGTGTTCAACGATGAGAAAAGAAGGGTCTCATTGTGGGTATTTCCGCAATGATACCTACCAGTGTCGATACCAATGGCAGTCTAATGACATTTGCCCACAATAGACCAATTTATAGAGTATTACTAATCACACATCATATGCTGTATATCCAGACGATCAGCACAACCGAGCGGACTCTATATAGTAATTCTATCTACATGTCCCAAGCATGAGCCCACAGACCAGACCCAGCACCCTAAAAAGTAAAAACAAAAAAGTCGACCAGCGACATTCAGAGCCAAACAGCCCCAAAAGCATCACGACATATCCATATCCTGACTGTGCACCATCCCCACCTCCGTGTCCCCTGCCAGATCCATAAAAATATCATCATACTCCTCATCACTGAACGACGAACCCTCACCAGCATTAAACCTGCCCTGCGCATCAGCAGCTCCATCCCGCTCCAATTCTAAAATGTACTCATCCAACGCGTCCGACCCCCCCTCCCCCTCGTCCGGTAACTCTGCCTCGTCCTCCTGCCCATCCATCCCAATCCCGCCCGCAAACTCAAACTCATCCACCGCCGACCGTCGCATCGCCTCTCCCCACCGCCTCTGCTCCGCCACGTGCTCCAAAAGCACCAACTGCTCCCCGCGGTTCTCGAACCGTCCGTCCTCGCGGTCCCGTTTGATGCGGTTCAGGAAGGCGTTGCGCCGTGTGTTGCGCGCCGCGGGCGAGACGGACGTCCCCGTGTACGTCCGGTTCGTGCGCGAGGCAGCGTTAGTGAGGGGATTGGCGATCTGGGAGGCGAAGCGAGTAGCGAAGCGGGAGGGATTGTGGCTTGTGGGGGATCCAGATGCTACTGCTTCTTCGTTCGTAGGGATGAAGGTGTTGTCGGGGTGGAAGGAGAAGAGAGGGGCGGGTGAGGCGGTCGTTACAACAGGCTGTTTCTGTATAGGGGACCCGAAGAAGTATGGAGATGGGCGACCGGAGAGTGGGGAGGAAGGGAGGAAGCTTGTTGCTGGGGTTTCAGGGTCGGTGCGGGCAGCGGCATTGTGGTTGGTGGTGGTGGTGCCGTTGACAAGAGGGCTGGAGAAGATGTTGGATCTTGTGGTGGCGATTGGCGTGTTGGGGGTGGTCATTGCTGAGGCTGTTGATGATGGCGACGACGACAATGCTGGTAAGGTATGATGGCGATGGGGGGAGAGTGGTGACGAACGCGTGGGCGTGCTGAAGCGCGATTGCGTTTCGGCAAAAGGCGGGGTCGGAGACTGTGGTTGCTGTTGCTGCTGATGATAGGTAGGATGTGTGGCGATCATCATTGCGAAAGAAATTGGTTTGCAGGAATAGAAGTTCAAAACGCGAAGAGCAGGCGGGTGATTACCGCTAGACTCGATAGTTGAGATGTGATCCCGCGGTACAAAAGAGTGAGCTTTTGGCTTGGTCCCGAGCGGAAGTCCCACTTGAATTTATGGCTGTAAGTCAAGATAAGAGAGTCGCGAGATTGAGCATCAGTTGATCATGCAACTCGAGGGCAGACAGGCGTGCAGATGATATTTACAGGAGTACCGTCGTCTTCAAATTGCCCAGCCACTGCGAGTACGCACAGGATTCGCATTCCGGCGAGGGGAGACTTCCGCAACGCGTCCGCATCAAACACGAAGTCACGTGTCACAGATCGGCCGTTGATTGATTCCTAAGGCAGCAAGGCAGGCATGCTGTCCCAGTCCAAATAGGGGGTTGCTTTGTCAGGGGGTTCTTGGTGATCGCTAGTGTTAACAAGAACTAGAGATCTACGTATTATTGATCAGACCCGAATCGAGTATAGGATAACAGTTGCAGCTGAAAGTCAAAGACACCTGCAATATTTCCAGCACCGAGGCGACATTTGGTCTACCTGACCCCTGATATAGCCATTCCAAGGAACACAATCACCATACCGGAGTAGAATCCTCATAAACAACAATCCGCCCCGAAGATCGTAATTTGCATCGAAGCATGATGACGACATACTGCTGGCCGGATATAAAACGTTACGCGCAGCGACCATCTGCAGGGGAACGGTAGTCGATCGATTGGTCATGAGACCAGCTACCAGACGTTCCGAGGCAGTGATACCGCATGACACATGCTTGAGACGACCGTTTACTCAATGATCTACACAGCCCACAGGGATCACACTTGAGATTTCTCAATCATTTGGTCAATTAAATACATACAATCAAAAGCTTTTTGAAGGCTGAGATCGAAGACCTGCAATCCAGAGAGCGAAGATAGTGAGATGGAAGGATGCCACTGTCAGCGTCTCCTAGAATGAATGAAATGCTTCGAGGGGGGAATCAAAGTAAACAAGACCAACCATGCTAGAACAAAATCCGCTGTGCTATGTAAAGGAATGTAGTGTATGTCGGAAAGAAGCGACATATGGTCTATCAGAGAACAGAAAAGGGGTTCTGCAAACTGTGAAGCACACATCACAACAAAGAACTGAAAAAACAATGAACATCAGATACGAGGAATCCCTCGCCCACAAGCGCCATGAAAACTGCGTGATAGTCGTACAAACTTTACAGTTCCGGAAGGAATATCCAGACAGTGTATCTTATCGGATACAAGCAGATACAGAGACCGAATCTCCGGCCAGACTTAAAAGTTTGATGCCGCGTTCACTGGACCAGGGTTGTGATACTGGTCAAGTGTGGTCTTGAAGGGCGTTCCGCCGGCACCGGGGCTAGGAGCCTTCTCTCGAGCACCAGATCCGACGGCGGTACCGCTCATCAGGTCAGCGGCTTCATCGTTATCGTGAGCAGCTTTGCGAGCGTGAATCCTCCAGGCCACCACAGCGATGGCTCCAAGGATGATCGCACCACCGACACCCACGACAACACCAATGATAATCTTCTTTTGAGATGACGAGAGACCGGAGCTGCCGCTAGAGCTGCCGGACGAGGCTCCGCTGAGGCTGGGAGAATCGGTCGCACTGCTAGCCGGTGTGGAGGTGGTGGTGAGAGTGGTCTGCACGGGGGTTCCACTGATGGTCTCAGTGGTAACAACGGTCTTGACAACGGGGGTAGCAGTGGTCTGGGCCGTAGTTTCCGCAGTCGTCGTGGAACTATCTGTGTTGCCGCTGTCGTTATTGTTGTTGTTATTGTTGTTGTTCGAGGAGGTCGTGGTGGCGGCAGCAGCGTTAGTAGTCTGAGCGGCGGTGGTATCGGCCTGCTTGGTTGTCCTGGCTGCTGGTTCTGTGGTGCTAGTAGTCTCTGAAGTCGACGTTGTCGTGGGCTCAGTCTGACTGGTGGAAGTGGTTTTCTCGGAGGAAGATGTCGACTCGGTGGAGGAGGTCGAACTGGCAGATGTGGTAGGAGCCACCTCTGTAGTAGCAGCAGCAGCCGTAGCAGAGGTGACAGCGTTTCCTACACTCGTGACCGCAGCGCTCTGGCCAGCGACGGCGGCCACGAGGGAGAGGGAGTAAAGGAGGAACGAGAGACGAGCGGCTCGCATGATGGCGGTTAGATGGGAGTATTAAGACGAAGTCGAAGGTCTCTCAAAGGCTTCCAGCGCCAAACGGACGGAGGGGGGAGTTGGAGAGATGACTGCCAGACGAGACGTGAACGGGGGATATTAAGAGGGTTAGGTTTCCAACACGACAGAAGTCCAGATGGAAGTTAGCGATCGTGGCTGTAGTCAAAGACACCGGGGTGGAAAGGGTGTCTGGTTGCAAATAGAGGGGTTAACGAGAGACTGCTGATATAATGGAGCACCCAGAGGCGTGTTAACACACGATACGAGATGGAAGTGGGTAAGAGAAAGAGCGTAAGGAGGCGCGGGATGGAGATTATTGAAAAAGGAATGGAGAGGGTAGAGACGGAAGGAAAGGAAAGGGAAACGGAAGGGAAATGCAGCAGCAGCAGCAGGAGGCAGTGGGGGAACGGGAAGGGTGAAAGGACTGGACTCAGTCACTCGAGTCTCACTCACTGACAGACAATACAGTACACCAATGGTAAACGCGTGCCCAGCCGTGGGCCCCCTCTAGTGTTGGCGCTAATGGGGGCCCACTGACCAGTCAGCGGGTGCAATATGAGACACATTGACTAAGGAGGTTACTGCATTTTGGAACATTTGGGTGCATAATGCCATATTGTAAGCATTTTCAGGCGCCTGACTTCGGGGCAGTGTCTTTTTTTTGTTTGGGGTGTGGCATTTTGGGGCCTTCTTGAGGGGGGGGGGAGGTTGGGTCAGTACGGAGTAGTCGTACTTGTGATTCGTGGTCTTCCCACCGGCACACCAGAACCTCCTTCAAAATGGGGTCTCAGTCTTACCCTAAAGCTGTTAGGATTATTAAATGTCCCCCATAACTAGGGTAACTAGTTAAACTAACTAACTACTCCTCCGTATTTAACTAGCAGTCTAGCAGACCATTTACCTACTCTGCTCGCCGTTCCTCCTCTTCGCGTAACGCTCAACCCTCTTCTTTCAGCCCAAATTTGAAAATAGATAGTGTAGGAGATCTTTATCCGATCTCCCCTAAATTAATGAAGATTCCGGGACTATGGTTCGGTGATACTATTTTAAGGTCCATACCGTGGATTCGACGTACCATCAATCACCGTACCACAGAACTTCATTCAGGTTCACCTTCAGTTCCTGTCTTACAGTGCCTTTCTTACAGGTAGAGATCCGACTTTGTTGAACTTGTCCAAAACGATTCTCCTTTAGGTTGCGTGTTTCGCCTGAAAGACCCGCGTTCCTCCGCGCGTCGTGGGCGAGAGGACTGGTGAGTTTGTTAGCCCACAATCCACATCGCCCATCGGACCCTTGAGGAGACAGGTACACTACTGCAGAAAAAGAAATTTCTGATTGGCAACACGGTCTCGTGCCTGAAAGAAATTTTCGATTCAGACCCATCGACATATGCCGGTACAGCCGACGTGTGCTCCATAATCAGACTCTGTTTGTGTTAGTCAACTATTCTTTTCTTCTTTTCTCTTTTGGGGTGGGCAGATCGCCTTAATCACCCAAACATAGTTTAGCGTGGCGAGACAAAGGAAGGGCAGGGACAAGCAGCCTGAGCCACCACCATCACTCATCCCTTCTTGGCTTGTCGGTGCTGGAGCATGCCCTACGGTGGTGCTCGACCCCATTCCAAGGACATGACGCAGATACCGGTTCCATATAGCAACGGCTTGGGGTGTGTATTGCAGACTCCATCGATTTGTGGCGTCTGGCATGTCGGATGCTAAAGAGACAGGGGGTTCTGGACTCACTCACAATGGCAGCTTGCGTGTCGCACGCACATCGAGACAAAGAGATCGGGGGAAAGCTTGGTCTCATCAGATCTCATTGATACAAGAGCTTCGCGAGACGTATTCATTGTTTCCTCCGCCTTCTGTGATCCTTGATGTGTAAATTGTCTCAGATGCAACAGTCATAACACAGAATGATATCATCGTCTACTACTTCGTCCACCCGTGGGAATTGATCTTTCTATCCAGCCATCCTAAAGGTACGACCAGCTGAAGACTTCGACAGAGTCGACCACACGTGAAAAAGTGCAATTATGGTGCAGTTACCATCGTCTCTAGACCTGCAGGATTCTCAATGTAGAAATCCGTACGAGAGTCGGGTGCTAAGCAGTGGGCAATCGTCTAAGCCTCATCATGATCATCATGGTCATCATGCAGAGATCTTCGCCTCAGTCCTTAACCCACCGCATGCTCACGCCGGTAAAGCCTTATTGAAAGTCATTCTATCTCTCGCTGTACAGCTCGAGCACGAATCTACCGACAAGCTACACAATATACACTATGCTTTCTACTGTACCCAGATACATTAACCATGCCACAACCGAAACCCTATCCATAGCACAAGCCACTCGAGAGCAGCCACTACCTGCAGAAGATGAGCCATTGATCGGATAGCTCACGCGGTACGATGAACAAGCCACCGCCAGGACCACCCAGACAGTAGCAGTATGACCTGGCAAACATCTGATCCCAAGATCTCGTCAACAGATCCTGATAGTTAACTTAGCCAAAAGTAACAGCCACCCGGACGTAGCCACGAGACTGAGAGTTGCCACGATCGTGACTCTGCTTTCTACCACAGCCGTCATCTCATACCTATCTGTCACTCACTATGTATGCCTTTACCGAGACCGACGCTAGGGAAAAAACAATGCTTCCTCGGTTCAATGACAATTAGCACAACAAATCATCCCAGGCTAATTAACGGCCTACTTCTGGCCGTTCTACCCGCTGAATCTCCGAATTAAGATACAGAAGCACGGTTGCACCATACCTGTCAGTCATCGGTAGTTTTAGGGAGACAGACAGAATCACACTCTGCTGAGTTGGCCAACTTCAACACAGAAGGAAGAAAGGGAGGGCCTAGCCCAGAACCCTCGAGACCCTGCATGACACCTGTAGCGGTAGGTTGTAACCACGGGCCCGGTGGCACTGCTTCCGACCTTCTCTCTCATAACCAACCATGCGCACACAACATGACCGCGCACCCTCCTCCCATCCAGTGCGGCATTAACTCACGAGACTTTCTTTCCGTAAACTTAGCCATACTTAATACCACTTATCTTTACACGCATGTATAGTCAAGGCAATTCTTAGAGAATCAACTTGCAGTTCGCTTAGTAAACAGCGACATTCATTTCCTCGACATTCTGCCCTCCCCCATATTTATTGCTTTCCCGGCTGATCGGCAGCGGGTGATTCGAGGAGCAGAGTTCTAGACTTTCAGTTGCGCAATTTGCACAACGCTGGCTGCTCGAGCCTCCCCACCAGGGGGGTCGTCATCAAACCTGGCAGTAACATGCGCCTTTATGTACACAGTATGCTTCAGGAGTCTAGGTCTAACTAAAGTTCTTGGTCTAGAATCAACTCATACAAGGTGGTGACGACGACGTGGGACCGGTTGCGGGAAGGCTTGGGGTATGCGTGCGGGTTTTGTCTCCGCATGCGTGCTCGTGTGTGCACAGTACGTTGACTCGTACTCCGTACCTACTCATGTTGCTGTTGTTCTTAGGAGGATTGGCGGCCTAATGCTAACTTATTCGTTGTGTACATTGAGTTAGTCCGAAAGGGTCGGTTGGAGTGAGGGTGAGTAGACTTGAATGCCCCGTGTTCAACTAAAGCCTCGGTGTTGCTGCAGTGACTCTGAAATAGGGCGGGTGGGGTGTGTTCAATTGCCCTATGCGGGTCCGCCTTGACAGGCAAGCCCTTGTGCGCTTTGGAAGACGTGCATTCCAACGCTCTGCAGGGTCAGCTTGCAGTTCGAGCTGGTTGTTGCTGTGATGTCGAGTCGAATCACACAGGCGTGCCGGGTGCGAGGAAGGTAAGGCTTGAAATCTGCGAGGAGGAGATTTGTTGCATCTACATGCAAGCCGTCTCTTCCTAGGATGAACGTCCGTCTAGTAGAAATGACTTTTTGATTCTGTTGTTGGTCGGTCTGCGGTCTGTGATGTCAAGGATGATATTGAGGTTTACTTACCACCATAATGCCAGGCCGAAATGTCTGAAGAACTACTAACTAAAGCGAACCAGATAGGATGGATGCTCGCTACTGGTGAGACGAACATATTTACGGATGGCATTGATCTAGCACCGGACAAGAATCGAATCATAACCAACGAAGCACGAACAGTCTCAGTCAACGGGTATCATAGGGATGTATATCAATAAACATAACTCTTCCGCAGTCGGGATGACCAAAACTACCGATTAGAACTTTTCCGTCGGCTTCCCTTTGAGCTGATTCTGGATCTCTTCCTTGAAGTAGACCCAGAACTTGCTCGGAGGAGAATCTAAGGTTGAGATGAGAGTATGTTAGGATCGTCGAACCCCACTCATTGTGTTTTGAGACTACAGCAGCTGGCAGTCAATCTGTCTCTCTATGTGGGCATACCAGGGTTTAACAAACGGCCGGAGCCGCTGATCCGGGGCGTCTCTGAAGGAGGCAAGCCGTGTTTCACACGCTCAACTTGTTCATGAACCTTGCCAACGACTCGGTGAAACGTCCGGCTGGAGAGTAGCTTTTTGTCACAAGGATGATTTGTCAGTCTGGAAGTGCCCCGTGGTGAGCGGTTGTCGTTGCGGACAAACCTGCCGAACGAGCAGCGTCTGGGAAGAGGGAGATGTGCATTAGCATTCGGTTGCTGTGTGTCTTGTCAAGGGAGAATCCATTGATTTCCGGAGACACACCTCCAAAGCTTGGATTCCAAGCATTCGAAAGACCATGCTGAAGGACTATACCGTCTAGCTAAAGAAGATGGACAGCAATGCAGTCAGTGGTTGCACGAGAACATTGAAGGCGGAGATTAAGGAATGAGAGTCCGAGATGAGAGATTAGAGGGAAAGGCGGAGTGGTCTGACAGGCCAATGACAGCCGCAGCCGATACTGAGCAAGCAGCAAGCGAACCGAGGCCAATCAGAGACAAAAAAGTCCCCGAGGCGGGATGAAAACCTTCCAGTTACAAAATGCATCTCCGACCATTGATGGGGGTTGGGAAGCATGTCCGAGATGAATTAACTAACTAGGTAGTAGATCAACTCTATCAACTATTGACTCTCACAGGGCAAAAATTCATGAGATCTCCTGATTACATCACTGTTGTCCTGAGCCAACGGACAATCCAAGGTCCCTGAATATGCCTGTCCATATCCGGATCATTGCGAAGGACCATCAGCGATAGTAATCCCCATTGTAATGATTTAATCCAATTCAATTAGTTTTATACAAAATCGATCCTGCCGTGGTCACCAAGAATTATCCCTCGTCTGTGTTGATATGGGTTGAATTTGCAAGTACATGTTTACTCGGTGTACTTGCTCTTCCCAAGTCTTGCTTCGTCCTTTTTCTCGCTTCTCATCCCTCCTTGTCTCTCATTCAAGTCACCGGACTGTTGGCCGCCTCTGTTTCGCCGCGCGGGGAGTGCAACGCTGAAATAACGTCGCGGGGGTTCAAGGAGAGAAAGAGAAAAAAAAACTTCCCATTGCTCTCTCGGCCTTGAACCTGGTTCAAAGCATTCTCCCCCTTTCTGGCTGAGATGTTGGGCGGCATTTTTCATCGTGAAGATTAAATATAGCAAAGGAATTCCACCAGCCACGATCTTTGCCACCTGAAATCGGAATTATAATCTCTTTCTGACCCCTCCAACCCTCATACTACTCAGACTACCGGGATCTTGGATTCAACTGCATCCGTTGGCTGCAAGTCACGCCAATCTAACTTTGGTGCAAAGGGAAAAGGCAAAAAAACAAAAAACGACTAGTCCATTGGACGAGTCAGCCTGACAACTACGATTCGTGCGCGCCTTGTCCCCGTGAGATCGATAAATCTGGCCAAGCACAGCATTGCCGTGTCGAGGGGCAGCTTCCACAGCTGTCCCGATCTGTCAACGCTTCAGATATCCCCCTCACCATCCCTGCTGCCACACCCCCCATCAGGCTACGAGGCGACTGTCACCGATAATACCACCACCACCACCGCATCAAATACCCGCTCTCCCTCTCCCCAAAGTACTGCCAGTCTCCGCAACGGTCCTCGCACACTCGCAGCCACCAGAAAGCGGGTCTCCAAAAAGGCGCGCGGCGTCCTGGGTAAGGTTCGGGCCTTCCAGAGGATCGCTGCGGCCAAGATGGCTCATCCCTCCATCAAAATCGACACGAGCGTCCCAGCCACCAAGCGCGCTTTCCCCGAGGATAATGAGGCAGGCTTGGATGTTCTATATGGCTCCGATGATGCTCCAGCGTTGGACACTGGCGATCATGATTCCGTGCCGCCGTTTCTGTGTCAGTCAGTCCTAGGTCCGTGGGCGCCCGCTCCCTTTACCCCTCTTCTATGCGCTTGTTTCTTTGCTGGATACATTTTCTTTTTGCGCTGGTCCTTCCGACACTAATACTTGTCATACTCGTACTACAGAGATTCATCAGAAATTCGAAGCACTCGAATGGATGCAAGGGACACGGCTTCTGGCGGCCAACGACCCCTCACACCAGTGGGCGCTAGAGGCAGATCCGGAAGTCAGAGCAAGGAACCGTTATATGAACGTTCAGGCATGGGCCAAAAATCGCATTCACTTGCGTGTTCCGGAGGGCGAATGCGACTTCATCAACGCGTCTCCGATTGTACTCCATGATTCTGTGTCGCAGCAGGCAAGGAGGTATATTGCGACCCAGGTAAGCATGCATATGGGCTAAACACCTTTGTGACTTGTACTGACCGGTCCTGCACGACCAGGGTCCCAAGCTTGGTCATGTCGCCCATTTCTGGCAGATGGTGTTCCATGAGAGTAAGGAGGTCGGAGTAGTCGTCATGCTTACGCAGACGTTTGAGTCCGGACGCGAGAAGTGCTCGCAGTATTTTCCCCTCGATAGTGACAGCCCCTCCATGCCACTGCGGCGAGTCGAGCCAGAACCCTATGCAACCGAGGACGATCAGTCCAGTGATGGCGACCTCCTGGGCGAAGTTACACTTTTGGAGTCCACATGGGACACTGCGTCGCGGTCTGAGATCCGGAAGCTCCAGCTCACCCTCGGCGACGAGTCCAAGACCGTGTGGCATTTCTTGTTTGCTGGCTGGGCCGATTACTCCAAGCCTGAAGGCGAGGATCGGGATGCGCTTCTTCAGCTTATCAAGCTGTCCGAGTCGAAGAGCGGGCCGGACAACCCGCGCATCGTGCACTGCAGCGCCGGCGTGGGCCGCACCGGCACTTTCATCGCGTTAGACCACTTGCTGCAAGAACTCGAATCGGGCCAGCTGCTGGAGGCGGTCAACCCGGAGATCGACCCAGTCTTCGAGACGGTCAACCAGATGCGCGAGCAGCGAATGATGATGGTGTACAACGAGATGCAGTTGCAGTTCATATACGAAGTTTTGCGCGAGCAGACCGATCTGAAATTGGGCAAGGCTCCCGGGTGCAAGTCGGAGGAACGATCCACGAAGATGGCCAAGTTGTCTAATGAAGTCAACTATCTGCCTTCCTCCAAACCGGAGTTGGAGCCCGCCAGGGATGACCCCTCGACACCGACTCGTAGCTGGTCGGGGACACCGGAGGTGTCTGATAATGAATGAGCCCTTGCCTGCAAACTCATTCACTATAATCATTACCTATAACTTCCTTCGCAGTACATATTTTTTTTCTTTTCTAATGGTTATATTTTTTGAACACCCTTCTTTCCCCGATCATACTCACTGCAGTTACCTATTACCCCTACCCTGCGCGTCACATTATAGTCACGATGAATACTACTTTTACGGATGAACCATCAGCCTTGTCATCTATTATGTCTCTGCCTGCCTCTCACGCGCTCGTGTTGTTTCATGTGCCGCTTCGTTAATCGTGGCTCTCGCGACAGAACTGGATTTGATACTGAGGACCTAGTATGGCTGCTGGCCCGGCTTCCGAGACAGGATACCCATGGCATCTTGTTCCATTCGTTTCATCTTTCTTTGCTACTACAACACCTTACACCCATACCCATGTTAGAATTGTGACTTGTACTCCATGTCTAACCTCATTACAAGCAGCTACTACCCTCCACCCATCACATAGACCTGTTATTATGAAATCACATATGAAAACCCCACAATCCAACCAAAATCACTTTTCCTATGAGATGACAATCGCGATAATATAGCTTGACACCTACTAACCCTTTCCCAGCCACGAGAAGCCTATATCTTAGACAAATCCTACTACGTAGCTCAAACCCAGCTACAATCCCGACCATGAAACTGAAGTACAGAAACAAACAACGGGCATGTTGGGTGAGTTCGGAACTCAACAACACTCAAGTTCTCATCAAACTTGTTTCCTTTGGGTGTGGTGGGCAACCGTTGAATTTGCCTTTTTCCTAACATCTCGATTGTCACTCGTCTTCAATGTAAGTAACGTACAATTGTGTTCACCCAGGCTCAATGTTGAATACGCGTTTATTTACAATGATTGCGCTTTTGAATTTCACTGCCTCTACCCGTACTTGGATCACCGCGTGAGGATTTCCAGTTCAGTACTGACTGGATGAGAGTAGATAACCCCTTCTCGGTAAGGGTAAGAGGCAGGAGAGAAACGGATTGGAAGGTTCTTTGGGGGGAGAAGAGTAAACGAGATAAAGTAGATGGCGCGGCGCGGCGCGGAAAGTAAAGATAGGCAGATATGGTGAGACACTTGGAATTCGATAGCGGTCATGAGGTGTTCGTGACATACATTCATGAGGGGTAGAAAGGGGACATTGACAATGGTAGTGGAAGGTATGTTGTGGCTATAGGGATAAGAGGGCTGAAGGATGGCGAGGGTGATGAGGGTCATGCAACGACGGGTTTGAACGGATGGATAGGGTGCGGTACATTTGAAAACAATGCAGAGGATAGCGCCAAACGGATTACGCTCGTGAATCCCTTCTGAAGTGTGGGTAGTGGGAGCTGGTACGCCTTGCCTGGTGTCGCACAGGACACGCTGGCACGAGCGACCTCACTGGCATAGAGGGAGATGATCCGAGGCAAAAGTGTGGATGGAAACTGACTGACTGATTGATTGAAGGAATGATGGGAGAGGGAGAAAATATCACAATTATATATCAATCAGTTTTCACCCAATCAAACAAACAAATCAACCACCCCAACTTTTTTTATATTCAAATCAATCACTCCGTTTCTTCCCATCCCCGTCTCCCGGCGAGGACCGCTTGAAATCCTCGGCGGCAGTCGTCGTGCCGGCCAGCTCGTCCGGCCCATCCTCCGTATCCCAATTGTCCACGGCGTTCTCGTCCCAGTTGTCCACCTCCTGCTCCAGGTTCAGAACACCCGTCTCCTGCGGGCCCAGGCCGTCTTCGTCCTCGTGGTGATCGCCGGCGAATCCCAGTTCTACGTCGTCGCCGCCGTCGCCGCCCAGGGTGCCGAAGCGGGCCTTGCGGCGCCGGTCGAGCATGCGGCGGTGGTACCAGCTACATAAACCGACAGCGCCCAAGCTGCCGACAATGTTGGCGAGCAGGTCGAAGGGGTCGAAGATGCGGCCGTTGGGGAGGAGGCCTTGGACGATCTCGGAGCCGATGCCGAGAATGAGAGTGCAGACAACGAGGGTCAGGTGTAGAGTGCGGCGGCGGGAGGTGTCGGGAATCCAGTAGAAGACGAGAGAGAGGAGGAAAAAGGTCACGACATGGAGGAATTTGTCATTGGGTTGGAGTTGGGACGGTATACTGGACGAATCGCTGTGGGGGAGAAGTCCGATATAGGCGGCGATGATGAGGAGGAAGACAAACGCGCCTAGCAGGAGGGTTAGTACAACGTAGAGATATGAGTCGGCGAACCAAGCAGAGAGGAAACAGAGAAATCCCGGCTATTCCCAGGCGATTCTCGCATGGTTGATAGAGAGAGCTTGTGTTGTCCGGAATGGGACGCCGTGACGTGGGAGAGCAATCGATAAGATGATTTGCCTAGGCAGAAGACCAGGTACTTACCCGCGAAAGGATAGCGGATTCGCATGATGAGCGAGAGTGAGGGAGATGTAGAGAAGCAGTCAAGCAGAGAAAGGACTAGTGAACAGTGACCTAAGAGCTGAGAGGGAAGCACAGCAGTGATTGATAGATAACAAATGTAGATGAAGCCGGGCTCAGTCTACAGTCAATTCAGCGGCCGGGAACGTCATGTGCCTGTGCTGTGCTGTACTGTGAGTCTGTGACCATACGGTAAGGTTAAGTTAACTGACTTAAGGTCAAAATCAGGCAGTCAGGCATGCAATCATCATCATCAGCAGTTACTTCTGTCATTCACAGGGCGTGGACTTTTACTCCAAGCAACAAAATAGCATCTGCAGACAATCAATGATACAACCGAGCACACAGCCACCCTGTCGCTGACATTCCCTGTTTGTGTCTTGCATTTTATGATCTTATTTCTTCGATCTCTCCGCTTAATATCAGAACTGCGCGGTTGGTCTAAACCTGCGGCCGCCGTTCCGCCTTTCACGGCTGGAAACCTCACCTCATCCCGTTCGCGCAGAGAACCTCGTAACTGTACGGAAGGCGCCCTTTACTTTCTTCCATCAAATCTGCCTCCCCGGCCATCATTTTTGGCTGATCTTTCATCGTTCTTCGCTTCTTCGCGCTCGTTTCTGAATCTCTATGTCGTTTTCCGCCGGTCTCCCCGCCCCGTTCTTCCCTCTCCGGACTTGAGATTCCCAGCCGTGGAGAAACGAGCCCCCCCTCGCCCGCGCCCCAGAATCGGGGTTTTGGAGCGAGCATGTCGCTCGGACACCACCACGCCTGGCTACCCCCTGGCCATCTGCGCCCTCCCGACGATCTTCATGATGCGCGGTCGGCCAATGGCTATTCCAGATCTTTTTCCGGGGCTCGTACCCCCCAGTTGCGCGCTTCGGCCGATGCCGACGGGCTGCACGCGGGAACTTTGATATCCGATGCTGATCTGGCAACCGACGATGACCCACGTATCGCCATGTTCCGCGACCTATACAAGCGCAGCGAGGCGCAAATAAATACCCTCTTTGCCAACCAGAAATCCGCCGAGGAGGCCGCCCGCAGTGCGGTCCCCGATGCCGAGGAGCCCCAGACTAAGGGCCAACGCGCCGAGGAGTCAGCTCCGCCTCCCGCGCCCGCCAAGAAACCCGCGAGGAAACTGGACGATGACGACTACGACGACTACGACGACGACGACGAGGACGACGATGATGATGATGAACCCGCATCACCTCCAAAGCCTAAGTCATTCGGTACTTCCCATAATGCGAGCGGCCTCCCATCGCCTAGTCGGCCCTCCAGTGGCTCCATCTCGGTTGTCATCGAAGCGCACAAGGAACCTAAGAAAGAAACCCTGGAGGAAATCCGCAAAAAGCTAGAAGAAGATAAAAAGGCCACCGAGGAGGCTGCCAAAAGGAGCTTTCACACCCTCTTTTACACCTTAGAGAATGATAGAGATGCCATGCTGGACCAGCAGCGGCTGGAAGAGTCCGAGCGCCAAGTCGAAGCGGAGATGTCAGGTCAGGCCAATGCAGGAAACAGCTCCAACCCAAACGTCAATGGGTACGGCTCCCTGAGCAGCGCCAACCTAGGCGCTTCAAGCCTGACCCTGAAGAACTTGATTGCGCGCATCGACATGAAGCGCACCATGGTGCAGGCTTCGGACGCAGAGCTGCGGAGCCTGATGAGCGAAGTCCGGAAGAACCGAAGCAAGTGGGCCAGTGAAGACAAGATCGGCCAAGAAGAGCTCTACGAGGCTGCGGAGAAAGTCCTCAGTGAGCTTAAAGCAATGACTGAACACTCGTCTGCCTTCTTGACTCGTGTCAACAAGCGCGATGCGCCTGACTACCACACGAGTAAGCAACCTCCGCTTCCTGCCACAGCTATGGCCGCCTTCAATATGCTAACTCCATTCCAGTTATCAAGCACCCGATGGATCTCGGCACTATGACTAAAAAGCTCAAGGCTCTGCAGTATAAGTCGAAGCAGGAATTCGTTGACGATCTCTACCTAATCTGGTCCAATTGTTTCAAGTACAACACTAACCCCGAGCATTTTTTGCGTAAACATGCATTGTATATGAAGAAAGAAACTGAGAAGCTCGTTCCCCTTATCCCCGAGATTGTGATTAGAGATCGGGCCGAGGTGGAAGCAGAAGAGCGACGGCTTCAACTCGCAGAAATGGACGGTGCGGATGAGAGTGACGATGAGCCCATCATGTCGTCCCGAGGCAGAAAGGCACCTGGAAAGTCGTCTAAGAAGGGAGCTGCGCCTGTGCGAAACACTCCCAGCGGATCGGAGCCGCCTGCGGCTCAAGCCTCTCAACCACCCGCGCCTGTACGGTCGGACTCGGACACTGTGATGGATGGCACCCAAAACGGATTCGCCACGCCTCCTCCAGGCGGGACGCAAACCCCATCTGATCCTGCTGGTGTTGGCGCCGGTGTCCAAGGGAGTCAAGGTGATGCTATGGAGATTGATGGCTTGTTACCTTCCAGTAGCAATACTCTGACCGCTTTACCCGCGTCCGGCGTGGAGTCAGAGGACCCCGAGTACAAGGTCTGGAAGCAGGTCACGAAAAAGGATCGTGCTGTCATCGCCGCGGAGCGGCATCGTCTGTTCAAAGGCGACAAGCTCAATCCTGATGAGCCGGCTCTGCTTCGGACTAAGGCTGGTATGAGACGGTGGCTGAGAAACCAAACGCAGATCAACGCCGAGGGCGACAAGGCCCGCGAGTCTACCGCGCAGGGTTTGGACCCTGGTGCAGCGGGCGAGACCTTAGCCGAAGGAATTGAGGTGGATGAAGATCGGGTCATCCCTGATTATTACGACGTTATGTCGGGTGTCCCTGACCTGCCTCCACATCTGTCCTGGAAAGAGGATTCCGATGGTAATATCGTTGATGCCTCTGAAGAATTCTTGCGCGTGCTGCCGTCAGGGTCATTCACCCAGCCGGACAGCAAACTTTCCAGAAAGATGGACGCAAACATGCGTCAAATGCAGGAGACCCGGAAGGTTTGTTCAAAGATCGGCATCGTCAAGCAGATGCAGCTGCAATCCCAGGTAAGTGATCTCGATGTTTCTCACATGATCAAGGATTCTCATGCGTTGCAGATGTATCAAAACCAGTTTCAAAAATACCAGCCTGAACCGTTCGTTGAACATGATGTCCCTGCGCACGTGATGAACGATGGGGGCCCGGTCATCTCTCCGTGGGTATGCAAGGCAGCCCTGCAGCGATCGGTAGCCAAGGTCTTCTATCACACCGGCTTTGAGGAGTATCAACCGTCAGCTTTGGATGCGGTCACGGACATTGCATCGGATTTCTTCCAGAAGATTGGCGAGACTTTAAAATCTTACATGGAAACACCGAAGCTTCCTGCAACCGACACACCAGAGCCCAACACGGCGCCGCAGTGGAAACGAGCGTATACGGAGCCGGAAATGGTCCTTCATACGCTCTCTTCTGTTGGCGTCGATGTCGAAAGCCTGGAGTCATACATCAAAGACGATGTTGAACGACTCGGAACTAAGCTTTCCACTGCCCACGACCGTCTCCGATCATTGCTTTCTGAGCTTCTGCGCCCTGCCCTTGCAGATGGCGGCGAAGATGGCTCGAATGCTTTTCAGGATGGAAGCGAGCAGTTCATTGGTGGGGACTTTGCTGAAGATATCGATGAAGACTTCTTTGGATTCAAGGAATTGGGGCTGGACAGAGAGTTTGGCCTGGCTACCCTTAGTGTCCCGCTTCATCTTTTGCAGAACAGGATGTACAACGCCGCCCAGGCCCAAAATACAAGGTGCGTCATTTTTTCGCCTCTCCTGAACTGAGACCTCAATGCTGACATTGTCATCAGTGCCGCACAAGCCGTGACGCTCTTTCCACCACCTCCCGCTTACCCTCGCATCACATCTGAGACATTGTCTTCGCAAATCGGCCTGGTACAAGGGTTCTTGGGTGCCAAGCTGAAGACCAATAACAACGAACCTCTGGTCGAGGATCTTGAGCTTCCTCCGAAACAACGACCTACCGCCTCCCGTCCTCGTCTTCCCGCATCCGGCAAAATCCAACCGCCCTCTGCGCCTTCAGGTGTCACCACCAGCCCTCAGAAACGACCGCTTCCTCCGTCTGCTTCGAGCCAACAACCCGCCTCTAAGCTCGGGTTGTCGGAACCCAGTAAGAAGAAGGTCAAGAAGAACAGTGGAGCCGGTATCGGCGCCTCTGATTCCCTTGCAGAAGGCGATGAAACGATACTTAGTGCGGACGGCGCGAAAGCTTCAGCCACCACGGATGCCAAACCGAATATTGCCGACGAGCGTTCGGTGGATGCTTCTGATCCAAGTGGCAAAGGGGACATGGATGCCGGGCCTGACGGCATTGGCATGGAAGGCACTGACCATGCTGTCCCACTAACGAATGGAACGGCGGCTGGTGATGCGTCATGAATTGTTATGATGATCATGGTATAGACCCTCCTTGCGTGGTCATAGGTTCAACCTTTCTTTCTGGGCTTGGATGATTGGGCCGGGGCACAAGGTCGGTTTTGGAGATTCTTGTACTGTAGCGTTTGCGATTTCTATCTTTTCATCCCCCTTATCTTTTACTTTCTTACTTTTTTTTTTTTTTGCTTTCTTATTATACCTGGCATGGTGGACCCCTTTTCCTTCGTCATCTGTCTTCTTTTTGAGTATATTTTCCCTCACCATTTGGCACCATTGTCCTATCATTTCTCTTTCCTTCTTCCTCACTTCCTTGACTTATCTTTTATTTATTTATTTTTGATCTTGGATGTGCTCAGTGTGCGATATGGTGCGTGTCGTTTTCCTTTTCCCTGCCCCAAGCAACTGGGGCGGGTGTATGAGTGCATCGAGGGCAATGGAGTGGGGGTAACATTTACCATACAAAAGTGAACCCAAATATAAAGCGAACGCGGCTTGATGAAATTAGATTTTTGGCCGGGGACATGTTTCAGGGAAACACTCCGAAGTCGAGTACAATCGTGAGATTAGTAGTGGACTTTTGTGCTGAAGCCCATGCTCCCTGCTCCGCGGACGTACTATTGTCTTTACTGGACATGAAGGTTACACCAATTCTCCGATGGCGCAGCAACTTCGCATTCCTACTGGGTGCCACAGCCCAAGCTCACCCCAGCCACTACATACAGTAGTCCTATTCCTTTTCTCCTGTACTCCGTAATGTATCTAATTTGAAGGGCGGGTATAGGATAAGACAATCAACGTGTCCAATTCAAACGAGACAAAACATACACATCTTCGGAGCTGTAAACGAACGGGCGTCGTAGCCACAAAACCTAGCAAATTTATGGAGGATTGTGCAATGCACTGTACAGTACTAATCCCCCAATGTGCCTTTGAAGGGAGAGATGACTGCCAGTGTTGGTTCTGCCCCCTTTGCACCGCAGCGCGCCTCCCTCGTATATTCCAAGACATCATCGTTGTCATTTCCCGTGAGTCTCTGCATACCTGTACTGGAGGAGGAGGAGGAGGAGGAGGAGGAGGAGGAGGATGATGATGATGATAATGATGTGAGGTAGCACTGTGAGAGTAATCATTGATAGAAGAGTAGAAATGTAGACGCAAAGGTGAGACTTCAACTCACCCCCTGCCACCACGCCCGTTTGTCTTGATTAGAAGAGTGTCTGACACTACCCAACCCAACCGGGTGCACGCATAAATACGACAATCGGATGAGGAAGAGCAGCAGCAGCAGCACAAATGAGTATCCATCTTTGACATAGCAGTCCAGACTCAAAGTGTGAGCTAGAGCTTGACTATAGTCTAGACATGAACCTCGATTCTCGTGGGCTGGCATTTCCCTCGTCTACCACACACACACACACACACACACACACCTCTGCTCCTTCTCTCTCTCAGAAAACAGTATGATTCAGCAGAACTGCGGTAACTAATAGTGGAATTTCTCCCAAGCACATCACCAATTGAAAACTTGCCTCGGGAAGAGACCCAGGAATAAAAACGCAAAGAAAGCCACCGAAATGAATTACCCAGTGTGTCTTAGCAACTTATGAACAATACGTAATAGCTACTGACCGAGAATCGCTGATGGGCAAAAAGAAAGATAATTCAAGCCGAGCCAGGAAACTTCAATAAGCAACTAATTAGTTCCTTTGGTTCCTGCTTTTGATAATACTGTACACAGGTCTCCTTGTTCTTTGCTTCTTCTTTCCCCTCCGTCTTCTTCGATTTCCTGCTTCGGTTTCGAATCGAGTTGTGCTTCGTAGGTCAAAGCTTTTTCTCCATGTTGGTTTATTATCAACATCAAATTGTGCACTACAGTACGGAGTACAGCAGAGTACTTGTCTCTCTTTCAGCACAGGTAATGCAATAAATACGACAACAACAACAGCAACAGCAACGCCAAACGCACGACTGCACCGCCAGCAATAAACTGTAAGACTGGGGTTCTTTCAGTCCGCATCTCTCCAAAGACAAAGTGACATGCTCGACTCCTTCTTTCTCGTCCTGTGGCTCGTCTTCGAAGTGTGCTGTTCAATTTTCTGGTTTGCGAAACCTGGCTGAAGGTGCTGGGCAAAGGCGGGCACTCTCTCCCGGTGGCTGTTGCGCGTTTGCACCTGTCCCGGCGTGGCTGTCATTTAATAACTGGTGGAGGGGCTACCATAGGTCTTGTTACCTTGATTCCTGGAATGTCTTGGGATGCATCTCGTACAACGTGGAGACTGAAGCTACTTTGCTACGTTATACTATGCTCTGTAGGCTTACCGTTTGCTCGGAATGTCGTTGCGTAACCTGTCGCCCAGACTAAACTCCCCCATCGAGGTGCTCGCGAGGATGTATAGGTCACCGAAAGAGTCACAAGCGCTTCAAGTAATTCACAATAGAAGAGTCGAGTTGCGCTCTGGAAAGCTTTCATTATTGACAAGGTCATTCAGGAGTTACATCGCTCGATAGCTCACTTAATGCAGCAACGTTCCTAAGCCGCCGGCCCTGTCGTCGGTCCATCCTGGCCCGAAAGGCTGGTCGGTCCAAGAACCAGGCAGTTTGGCGACTGAGAACCATGCTACATTCCGATACACTATTGAATAAAGCAGAAAAAGCAAGAAATCGTCCAGACCGACGTTGACTGGGTTAGATAAATGCAAAAGAAAACCATCCTTCTCCGTGCTCTTCGCCGTCATCAACTTCTTCGCCACCACCTTTGTCCAGACGTCTTCAAGTTGGATCAGTCTCAGATGTACCACATCGAGAACGGAAGCCGGTTCATATTGCCTACCATGGGCAATAGTCTCGGATCCACGGGGCGTTTCTCCGGCTTGGGATTCGTCAACTTGACTGTTGGTCCACTTTGAGGGCCCGAACTTGCAGCCACGTCTTCGTGGTGTCTCGCCCGAGCTGCGATCAGGTGAGCGTAATAAACAGCAGGATCTATACATGTTAGTTCAAAGAAGATCATATCAAGATAAGAATTGGAACGGCATGTCAACTCACGCAATGAAACCGACGTAGTGGACCGCATATACTGGTAGCAATGATCGTAGATCAAGTTCTCAAGTTCGTGAGCCTTGTGTCCAATCTGGTCCAGAATCACATGGTAATGAACGGGACAAGATGTGCCCTGAAGCGCAATGTGAGAGTACAACAAGAAGTCCCAATCATGAGGACTGGTCACATCCTTCTCGATCAAAGTGCCGGGCAACGGGTTGCCGTTCTTATCCGCGGCGTTGCGGTCACCAGGTCTGGGAAAGGCGCGGAGATGGTGGCGCTTGTTTGCAACGACAACAGTAAATTTGCCAGGCCATCTATCCTGAGTGAGCTTCATGAAGATAGACTTCATGTCGAAAACCTCAGACTGAAGAACATGCTCGAATTGGCCGGTCGAGACACCGTCGCGGAAGTAATAAACGTGCTCTGGCGCACGCCCTTGTCCGACGGTAGACATCCATTCGCGGATCAGAGGAGTCAGCATGATTTCGAGGTTAGCACGATTGATAATTTCGACACGATCGCCGTTGGCTTCGCAAGCCCCGAAGTAACGACCACCAAAGTTGTCCATACACACAGATACCGCAGCCATCGAGGGTGACCAGACGCCCATGGGAGAGTGCGTGACATCGGCTCCAATGATCATAGAGTTGGGCTTGAGCGTTGCGCCTGAAACCTTAGAAACCACGCGGGCTGTAGTTCCACCAAGCTTAGCGTTCACCTTCATCAGTACGTTGGAGTAGTACTGCGGATTTCCCTTCATGACGTGCGATGCGAGCACACATTGAGAAGGAACGCCAAAGCGACAGTCGCATGACTTCTTAATCCGGAGATAGGCGAACGAATCCTTGTTAGGAACGACAAATATGAGAAGCTGCGGGCTCTTGACATTGCACTTCGCATTCACTATTTCGTGCAGTTTTTTGACAGCCTCACCAATATCCTCCTTCAATTCAACGATGACTGGGCGCCGCGCAACCTGCCCGCCATGTCCCGCATAGGCCTTCATAAGACCATCGCAGAATGCCTCAACCTGTGCCTTGTTGGCAGAACCACGCTTTCCGACAAAATATCCAACGCCCCAGTGTTCGAGAGGACGTCTGTTTGTCTGATAGAACTTCTTGCCACGAAGGTCCCAGCGGCCGTTTGTACCGGGGTTGTGGCGCTGGTTAGCACCGAAATGAATGTCTGGGCTCGGAAGAAGACGAGCTTTGCCCCGAATCATGTTGGGGTCGACCTGGAGACCGAAAGCACTGAGAACGGGATCGTTGGTGTGATCCATCATTTTCTTGTTGGCTACAATTGAATTCAGTCTCTCAGCAGGGCGAGAAGCGCAGTATCTGATCATGGCTGCCGTCTGGAATTCATTCAGCTTCCATGGGTAACGAGTAAAGCCATGAATGGTCAGGAGTTCCATAGGGTAGAGAACGCCTTTCTTGGTCATCTCAACCATAGGAAGCTCCGGAAAATCAAGGAAGATGTTGTACTTCTTCTTAAAGTACTGCTCGACACTCATGCGGTCAATTTTTCCAGTCGCCTTGTCCTTAATGTCCAGCATGTACTGGCGGGCATTGCCGTTAACCAGACCTTTGATAGTGAAATTGACCCCGGTACATGGGCATCCTTTGTAGTGTGCCTGCACCACAAGTTTCTTCAGCTTGCGGTGTACCTCATAGAAACCTGGCGACTCAGTCGTACCGCCATGCTTGTCTGAGACGGGCTCACACCGGTGAATGACCTCTTGAATGTCTCGCGCATCCAAAACAGCGATAGCTACCTGCATTACGCCACAGCGAGACCAGAAGCAAGTGTTCGAGACGTCGATGTTCACGATGAGTCCACGGTTCTGCATCAATCATAAGCATATGTGAGCATATGAGATAAAGAGCAACGAGAACCAAGAAAACTTACCAAAGCCGGACGAATCGCCTGATACACGCCTTTAAAGGCATAGACACATTTGCCCAAATCCTGACTTGCGCCTTCGGGGTCGAAGAATGAACGCTTGATTGCCACATACTTGTTCGATGGCGTTTCTCGAAGGACATGGTCCAGAAAATCTGCGATGACTGTTAGCCTTCATTAACCGAGTTCGGAGAAAGCTTTGCTCACTCAAGGCCTGGAGAACGTTCTCCGACATATCAGTGCGCCCCTGAAGCCAGAGGTTCAAGGCTGAGAGATCGACAGTCTTGGTGGGTCGTACCAGCAGACGGAAAACGTTGGGTTTGGCACCCGGCTTACGGTTCTGCTCAGCATCGAGATCAACCATGACATTGAGGCCTTGCTTGTATTCTTGCAGAGTCCTAATCTGAAGTCAGTCACGTTGCACACTCAGGTGTGATGAGGAGTCATACCAAGCCAATTTCTGTCCGTCGAAGATGATGCTTTTAAGGGCGTTCTTCCTGGCACTGGAATCCCAGACCTTCTTGATCACGGCAGTCTTCTCAGCGCCGTTGCCGATTTGCACCTATATTGGTTGTCAGTTTGGACCCCGCTGTGGGTAAGCTGCCAATGATACTTACATCATACTGGTAAATCCTTCTGCTTGGGAACTTGGTGATCGGGTAGGCGTTCAAGCTGACCTCGATTTCCTTCCCGGTAGTGTTGAAGCCAGGGCGAGGAACCGTTTCGGATGGGATTTTGTACTTCTCAATCTCGTCAGCCGTGCGAATTCTCAGATGACGGAGACCATCCGGAAGCTTGTCAATGGCCTCCAGCCACTCCATTTTGTGTCTGAAAGAGGGGATGAATGGAAAATTGGATGGGATGTAGTGGGGTGAGATAAGAATGATCCACTCGGGGTGTGATAGAGGGGTTGGTAGTAAGTAAGAGACAAATGGGAGACTCGATAGCTCTGAGAATGGAAAGTGGAAGAACAGGCTCAAAGATGTTGGGAAGATGAGAGTATGGAGGGGGAAAGGAAGAAGAAGGAGGGGGTTTATATAATAGAGGCCGAGGAGAAGGTGGACTAGAGCCCAGTGAAGAAATAAGAACCATTCAATGATCGTGTAGGGGAGTGGTGAAGCTCCGATCACCTTCAGTAGGGATCCATGGCATGGGATGAATTTCCAACAATGCTTAAAGGGGCCATTACCCAGGGGCCCAGAGTGAATACTACACATCGACCACAAGATTCAAGAAGGTCTTTCCATGAAGAGAAAATAACAGAGGGACGTCGTCCGAAATGTTAATAGGAACAGTCTCGAGGGGTGAATACGAGGTTGAGGGAAGGCAGGAAAGGAAATTATGGAAAGACCAGCCGATGCAGTGTGAATATCAAGGTTGACGGACAATGGGTGAATAGGAACAGCAACCCGAGTAGCCCAACGTTCTTCTTAGAAATACACCACCACTAGTACACAACCCACTACTTTCAGACATTCGATGAGCAGTCACTGTTTGGTTGCAAACACAAAATGAAATGCACATACCCTATGATTGATGTTATACGCTCCCACAGGCAGGTCAATGTTCCTGCACATGTCCGTGACCAATTTCGGCGTCTCCCGAGCAGGGTCAGACAAAGGTTCAGAGGTGCTCGCCATTTTGATGATTGGAAACAGCTAGTGGATGGGTACTCGTTTGCTTCTGCGGTACGGAATGTCAGACAACCTGTTTCGAACTATTGCTTCCAGCAGCGAGATTATGATAAGTCATGTGGAGGGAAGCCAGGCTTGCATGCAATGGACTTCCTTCGGCACAAACAAGGCCAGCTCAAAGCAGAGCGTCATGCTTTCGGCTAGCAGTCCATGTCATGGTCGAGCTCTCGCGTTGGCACGATCGACTCAAATGCAGGCACCCGTGTGCAGCCGCAGGATGAGGCAGGTTCGCTTTGGAAGTACATACCTGAGCAGACTTCAATTGCCACCGTCAATTGAAGAAGATTATGGCCGCAATGTGACACTCGGAGAACTTCGTTACTGAATAAGTCGATGGGTCATTGGCATGGGCTCGCAAAGAAGGTTTGAGGATATGGCTTTGTGATGCGGTGTGGCTGAGTGGGTAGCAGTATAAGAGGATTGGAGGAATTGGTAAGTGCCGAGGGAAGTATTTGAGGGATGATGGTTTGGCGAGAGAACCAGCCAGACAGCAGGGAATCGATGATTCTGGGCTGTTGGATGGCAGAGGTTGTCGGGAGGCAGTGGAGTGATTTCAGGTAGGAGACTGCGGGAAACAGAGATGGCTGCTAGGTGATAGGTTGAGGGAAGGATGAAAGGGAAAGGGTAGAGGCAGGTTGTGAGTGTGGGTAAGATGATGGGTGGAAGACGATGGGAATGAAGATGGGTATGAGAAAGGATGGAAGGTGTGGAGGAAGATGGAAGAAGAGAGGAAGGGAGGTGAGGGAGGAATGGGTGGAAATCAAGGTGAGTGGAAGTGAGTGAGAGAGTGAGGCCGGAGATGAGAAGTAGAAGTGTTATTATGGGATAGTGACCACAACCGCAACGCGCTCACCCAATGAGGAGGAGATACAGTACAAAAGGGAGGGACGGCAGGAGCAGGAAATGAAGGTGCAGGTAAGGTATAAGGCGTAGGAATATGAGGAAAGAGCGAGAAACACTCACCGGGGCGACCAAAGGTCAGGTGCCAGAGAGGAAGAGATGAAGGATTGACCCGGAACTTTGATGGCTAAGTTCCGGTTTGGGATGATGTACTGTCGGGGTCAAGGAACAAGGTAAGGATTTGGCTGAGATGACTGATGTTGCTGTGTTGATGTGGAAGTTGGTGAGATGAACTTGAGGTTATTGTGTAGGATGTGCTGGTGGATGAGGAAGTGCCTCAGAGTGAGCAGTACTTCCGACTACATTGCACTCAGCTGAGTATCAATTCAGGATCAGCTTCCAGTGATGATCAAGGTGTGTATGCGATTGAGGTCCAGATTCAGAGGATCAAACTCGAGGTCGGAGTTTGATACTAGCTGTGCGCATGCAAATCATAGCTCCATGCGGAGCAATAAATGCTGATAGAGCAGCGAGTTGGTCATTTCTGGACTGAGGATCTACATCGAGAGATATACGGATCTGATACATGACCCCTGCTTGTCGGCAGAATCTGGTATGATGACTCAAGTGTTACTGGACGCTGGTCAACCTTGCTCTAGGCTTAAGAACAGCAGAATATTTCAAGTCCTAGCTTCCTCGACAACAGTACGTCTTCAGATCAGGAAGTTTAAAGCTGAAATAATTATTGAGTTAACACAGCCGATTGTGTGCTATCGTGGACAGCAGAAAACTGAAGATTTGGACCCCACCAATAATCGAAGCATCGCCTTTCCCAGGCCGGTGCCACACACACTGTACAAGCCGCCCCAAACTGATTATAGAAAGCAATAAAGATAAGAATCAACCCACGACATCGCCAAGCTTGAAACGCCCACTCATCAAATGCAAACGACAGCCAACAACTGTACAGTCCAGAGCCGCGCCGCTGTCGCTACCCAAAACGCGAACGAATGATACAACGCGGATGCAGGGTGGTTGCATTCGCGCGTGACAGGATTTGTTGTTACACAATAACGTGTTTGTGTGTCGCATAAATCAGGACCGGTACGCACCTACACAGAGCTGTTAGCAGGGCCCTCACACATGCAGATATACAGGAGGGTTAGGGTAAAGATGATGACATACCAGGAAAAGATGGGGGTGCTTGGCCGGCTCCGAGCCCACGAGGGAAGGGAATTTGCGACATCGAACCAGGAATGTCGATCCTGCGGATGAGGTCGACCATTTTCTCCGGAGAGAAGCGCCCGGCATTGTAAGCAGAAGCCGGAGGAATCACACTTAGGAGGTAGACAATGTCACGGGGAAGAGGAGCAGGGGACCCTTGGGATCTGAACTGCGATTGGTTGGCCATTGTCTGCTGAGTCCGTTTCTGGTCCAGCTGGCGTCTCTGCGTGGTCTTGAGAGGAGATTCAGCCCGCACGAACTTGCGTGGGCGGCCCATGTCGTCATCAAACTCCTCTAACTGCCGCTTGGGCGAGTTCGTGATAGACGGATCCTGGAATCGGGAATTGGGAGTGCCGTGACGGGACATCATTTGATCTGCCCCATATGCCGTCGGCTTGGGTCTGGTCTGGGAGGGTGAGATGATAGGATGCACTGCTGTGGGGTCGAAAGTCGGGGTCGAGAAACGGTGGGCGAATTGCTCCAAGGTTGGATCTTCCGGGAACAATTCACGCATACGGGTCTCGAGGTTGATGACTTGGACAAGATCGCCGTAGCGCGACTCGTATTCGTGGAGAAAAGCAAAGATGGGCTTGGTCTTGTGCACGTTCTCGGGGTTGGAGGCTAATTTCCTCACAGTCATCTCAAAGACTGCTCTAGCATCTGGCACGGTGGAAGTCAGCATCATTCTTCAGGGACCTATAGGATAGCGAAGTGAAACGTACTAATGACATCGTTGATATCAATAAGGTGCTTCAAGTACTCCAAAGCGAAATTCTCATCCTCTGGGAAAAGCTTTGCCCCCCGCTCGAAAATCTTGGTAGCGGCAGGGTCCTTGTAACAATGATATTCTATAAGAGCACTTGCTATATAAACATCACTCGTGATGCGGCCCCGCTTCCGAGCATCTTGGAAGATCGACCTCGATCCGGGCATCTCGTTGAGCTTGCCCTTACCCTGAATGCGACGCATCGCGCGCATGAGAGCAATCCAGGCGAAGGAAACGGTCTTGGACAGAATGCCAATTTGAATCGCATGTGCATTTCGGACGGCTTCAATCTGGGATTTCTTGATAGATTCCCGCGCCTTGGCCTCCTGATCATCATCGTCGTCGTCATCGTTCTTCGACGGTGGCTTCTCGGGTTGCATCTTGGCGAATGTTTCTTCCAGGCGAGCAACATCTTGATCCTCGCGGGTGCGGGCCTTGGCAATCAGCTCGTAGAGTGAGTCGAGCAATCTGTCGTAAGGTTCGCGGACTTTGGCACCGCGAACGATGGGGTCCTGCTCCGACTCGGTGTTGATTTCCAACCGGTCCGCGCGCTTAAACGCAAGCAAACAGCTTTCGGGATTAGCGTCAATGCCATGTTTCAGGAATTCATTTCCATCATGGTCCATCTCATTATGAAAGCAGAACTCAGCTGCTTCAAACCACATTTCGGGCAAGAATCTGAGAGCCATGAGAGCTTGTTTATAAACGTAAACGACCCGGGCTTTGTAGGTGGCAGCGTCGTCCTCCTTTAGCACGAGAGGGTCGCCCTTCTCCCACTTGATCCAGCGCTTCCAAATATCCACTTGTTGCGCATACTCAATGTCACCGTCAGAGCCAGGCACGGGAGGCAACCTTGGCAGGGTCGTGCGGTTCAAATTTTGCGTGATGTTCTGCAGCTCGGTGAAAGAGCTGCGGGCGGTCATATATGCTGGCGATTGTTCCTGCAGGAACTTGCGGCCCTACACAAAGTCACAGGTGAGTAAGATGGTCTTTATAGAAAGCTTGAGATAATTACCGTCATCTTGTTCAGTCCCATCTCAAACTGATCATACTCTTTCCAGAGAGTGTTAACCGCCTGAGTGGGCACGCAGATGGCTTTTTGGTAAGCCTTCCGGAGGAGGTCCATCTTCTGTTGATCTTGCCAGCCAGACCCTCCAACATTTCCAGGACCCGAGCGGATGAATTGGACGTACTCTGACCAGATGGAGCCAGAGTCCTTATCGACGCCGACATGTTGAAAGGCGAGGTCATAAGCCGCAGTAATGATTCTCCTCGCTTGGCCCGTGGTGTCGGTTGTCAAGGGATTCCGCCGGCGCACGTAGTCCAAATATACCGACCACAGTTGCACATCAGGAATGGTCAGAAGGGTCCGGCTGAAGATTTGTTCCAATCGAAAGAGTTCGTTGAGCTCCGCTTCCATGTTTGCGTACGCCACCCATTGTTCGGCCTAGAAAGCTCATCAGCCGACATGGCCACTGCTAGCACATACAACAAGATACTCACCGAGAAGGGAAACACTTTCAAGAAGCGCTCATAGACGTCGCGGGCATTGTCAATCCGATTGCGGCTTCTGTGCTCGTTAATCAGCTCCAGCCAGGCAGGCATGTCACCTCGCGGGTCTTCCTTGATCCTGTCTTCTAGGATGCCAATTCGATCGTGAGGCAGGCGGCCCTTGGACATGGAGGGAGATTCCGGCTGGGGAGTAGCTGCAGTGCTCTCTTGTGCGCTATCCGGCTGTAGAGTACGCGCGTTGTACAACTCCTGGCCCGAAGCCACAGGCGCATCATGTTTAGAAGCAGCAGAAAAAGAGCTATTAGGGACATTCTTGACGCTGGCAGACTCCTGCGCAGTCTCATCCAATGATACATCAGGGGTAGAAGTAGCTTCATTTGCATTGCCTGAAATGGGTTGCGAAGGTATAGTATTCATGTCTTCGACACCTAGTACAGCCGGCGGCTCATAATCTGCATCACCCGCATCATCCTCATCCTCATCCTCAACCACAAACCCCCCAATCGTCCTAGTCTTGGGCGGAACAGAAGCCCCAGTGGCAAGGCCAGATGTTGATGCCTGAGACTCAGCTCGGGAAGGTGTTTGGGAAGGGTAGGTATCGCCAGCTTGCTGACTAGGGTCTGATTCGGGGGCACGGGAAGAAGAGATCTGGTCTGGGGGAGGGGTGGACTCGGAAGGAGGAGCAACGGCAGGAACATTTTCACTTTGGTTGGAATCTGTCAAGGGAACAGAATACTGATCTGGTAGAGTTTTTGAAGGGTCATAATCATCTGAATCTGAACTATCTGCACCTTGCTCTTCAACAGCCTTATAGTCCACAGAGTCTGCATTCATTGCCTGAGCCTGGAAAAAGGCGTTCTCAGCATCATCTTCGGCCATGACAAAAAGATGTGGTCTCGCTTGCGATAAGGGTCGAAGATTCAGACTACCTGAGGAAGAGCGCGGGGGGATTAGCGACGGGTAAACCTGAGGTCAGGAGAGAGTGGGGGAGGGGAGGAGGAGATATAAAAGTCAAGATGACTCTTAGACGAACACTTACGGAGAAAGGTGAGGGTTGAGCGGGCGGTGCTGCCAACCTAGAGCGATCGGGGAAAAGGACAAAGGAATCAACACAAGTCTTTTGGTAGAAGCTCCAAAGGGTACCAAAGTAAAAGAGAAAGAGGGGAAGTGCACACAAGTACGTAGAATCCGGACAATAAAAATGAAAACGCTCCTGGGTGGATCTCACAGGTATGGATCACACCGATGGAGATGAGGTGCAGTTTGAGTGCAGTGGATTCTATTCGGGGTTCGGAGCTTGTGGCAGAAGCTGCGGCTGGCACGCATTGGGCCACACAGCACGTGATGTATTTTCTTTTCTTTTTTTGCTGGCGGGCTGAAGGGCGGTGGGCGGTGAGCGGTGGAGAAGGGCGCGCGAAAGATGCGTCCCTCACACGCGGCGCGTCGTCGTCGATCCTTCTTTTGCGGGTTGTTTAATTGATGGTTGCCAGTCTGGCTGGCCGTAGCTGTTAGCATTTAATAACTACTAGTACTAGTACTTCAAGCCTTAAGGCACTGTATGTATTCCGTACTGTACATCAACTAACTAACTACAAACAATACTTGCTTGCTGGCTGGCGGTTTCTCCTCCATCCATTTATCCCTCCATTTTCTCCTCCCCACTTCTCTTCCTCCCCTCTTCTCCTCTCTCCCTCTCTTCACCTCCCTTTCTTCCCAAATAAAACTAGAGCCATTCCTCTCATTATTTGTTTGTTTCGCTCTTGTCTTCAAAATCTTCCAAAATACTGCCTCCTCTTACAACTCACCCACCCTTTCATCTGATCTCTCCTTTTCATCACGAGCCCTCCGATACGGCTTCATAACCTCCCTTCTCAATCACCATGTCGGTCGTCTCTCTCCTCGGCGTCAAGATCGTCAACAACCCCGCCCCTTTCACAGCGCCCTACCAATTCGAAATCACTTTCGAATGCCTTGAGCAACTGCAAAAAGGTAATTATCGCCAACCCATCCCCGAAGATGTCTACACCGCAAGCGCTGACTGGCTCCCGCCCAACTAGATCTGGAGTGGAAGCTCACCTACGTCGGCTCTGCCACCTCGTAAGCCTTTTCAGCCCTGGACACACGACAAAAACGCATTCTCGTCCCTCAAACGCTAACCGTCATATCCTAGATCTGAATATGACCAAGAACTCGACTCCCTACTCGTGGGCCCCATCCCCGTCGGTGTCAACAAGTTCATCTTCGAGGCCGACCCGCCAGATTTGAAGCGCATTCCCACCTCGGAGATTCTCGGCGTTACCGTCATCCTGCTCACCTGCAGCTACGACGGTCGAGAGTTCGTCCGGGTAGGATACTATGTGAACAACGAGTATGATTCGGAGGAGCTCAGCGCCGATCCGCCTGCCAAGCCCATCATCGAGCGCATTCGTCGCAACATCCTCGCGGAGAAGCCTCGTGTCACTCGCTTCGCTATCAAGTGGTAAGTTCTGTGCCCATGTCCCCAACATCACTAGCTGCAATCGCCGGTTCTCATTGCGTGTGCAGGGACTCGGAGGAATCCGCCCCCGCCGAATACCCCCCCGACCAGCCCGATGCCGACCTCGTCGACGACAGCAACACATACGGTGCTGAGGAAGCCGAGCTGGAAGCCGCCCTCGTCAAAGAGCTCGAAGAAGCGGAGAGACAGGATACCTCCCGCGGTGAAGACCAAGACATGGAAGGCGGGGAGGCCACTGCTGGGGACGAGGAGGACATCTCCGATGCGGAGAGTGAAGACATCGAGGACGAGAGTGACGATGACGACGAGGAGCTCGACGAAGAAGAGGGCGGTGATGCCGACGAGGATATCGAGATGGGCGATGACACGGAGCCGAAAGACGAGGCGGCCGGCAACGCCAGCAACAACCCCACGGCCCAACATCAGCCGGAACTGATGGTCCACTAGATGCGTTGATGATGAAGTGCTTGGGCGTGCTGCTCGAACGAAGACGTGGGTATATTCTTTGTTTTTATTTGGTATCCTTCGAATGATTTTACGATTGGGTTCACGATGTGCTCGTTTTTTTCTTTTCTTTGTTTTTTTTAATTCCTTCGTGATATATCTTATCATATTACCCTCTTCCCAAAAGGTTCTGCAGTATTTATTTTCAAGGACATAGAACCGAAAAATAATTCAATTCCTTTTATATCCCCAAATAGACGTCGGCACAGTCTCCTTTACCTTCTCTCTTTTCCCCATCACCCCTCCAATCTGTCCCAAGAAAGAAAAAAAGATTCAACCCCTGCACATTCCTCTCGCCAGAACTCGGACATAAGCAAAAAGCAAGGGGACCATGCAACGAGGGGTACGTACCCGTGGCAACTTCCTTCCCCCTGACCTGGGCGCAACGCAAGGCTGAAGATAGGGAGGATGGGATGGTGCTTAGCGTAGCACAGACCATGAAGGTTGAGAGTAGTTGTGGGGACTTGAGACTCTTGTGCAAACAAATTACACATTCTATTTCGATTCTCACGTATGAGCGCCCGTCGCGTAGGAAGTATACTTGTCTACTTGCGCATCTAGTCCGTGGTAACAGTTTATGCTCGGTGCTTCGATTGATGCGAAGCCATTAGGGGTGTCAGGATATTCAGACAGGCTGAAGAGAATCTTCATGGGGGGGCAAATATGCGGTGAGTTTGTGGGCGGGAACTGAGAGGTAAAGGAAAGGTAGGTAGATTAGGAACGTAAGGGTATCATCGGTATGGTGAAAAAGATCCACCGTGTTTGTATGCTCGGTCAGCAATCGGGTAGTGGTCTCCTTTGGTGTCTGGGACTCTTAAGGGAGATTTGTTCCGAGTGGGAACATGAGGAAGCGCTGCGGGGACTGGTCGGTTGCGCCCTTCACCTATCTAATCTAATTCACTCTTGCGGGCAGTGAATCTACGGTCCTTCCTTGAAGCTTAAGGTATTTAGGTGAAGGAGACGTTTTCGAAAGAGAGACAAATTGCTTAGTATGTTTTGATAGATGCGCGGGTAGCCCAAGAATTGGAGCTTTCTCGGCCAGGTTCAAATGTCGTCTAGTCATAATGTTTGTTCAATTAGACTACCAAGAGACATAAAAAATCAACCAACGCCGCTGCCGCTGAGGCCTGGGTATGAATAAAGTATAAAACCCTCTACTGAGGTTACTGAAATACATGGACTTCCCCCTCCTTGAAGGGAAAGAGGGGCACCTAGGGAAAACCTAGAGACCGAATTTGGAACTAAGGGCTGTGCTTTTGTCAGTACATCATTGCACATTAGGAGATAATCGGAGATTGCACGTACCGCCCATAACAGCCTTGCGTTTCTGGGTCTGAACGAACTTGCTAACGTCTCGCGCCCAGTTGCTGCTGCTTTCCTCCAGTCGTTCCATCTGATCACCAGCGAGGTTAAGTCGTTCGGTACGTTCGGTGACCTGACGCTGCATGTAAGACCAGTACCCCTCCTGGTTGCCTGAGTCCGAAGACTGGTTTGTGCTTGTCCTGCCTTCTCTGAATGCTTTGCGGCGCTCCTGTTCGTCCAATCGCATCTGTTCCTGCATGCGCTTGGAAGGCGGGCGATCGGGGCCTCCAACTAGAATTTGCTGTCAGTCTGTGAGGCACAGGAGGAGGGCAAAGAGTTACTAACTCAACAAGTCCATGTCGGCCGGCGAGACATACTGCGTGCCAGAGATCCACTGGATGTTGGTAATGGTGGGCCGTGGTGGGATAACTGCTTGAGCATTGTACAATTGATCTTCGGAGGGTCGACTGTGGCATTGGTTAATCACTGGTTCATTCCG